CTAATATGTTTACAAAAATTATATTATCTTTGACCAATGTTATAGTAAGCCAGAAAGATATAATTTTAATTACATCATTTATTTGTAATAAAATATTTATTTAATGAATTAAGTGTGAATTAAACTATCTTAATTAAACTGATATATCATTTCGGTTTATTTTTGTAAAGAAATGTAACAAATAAAAGACAATAACAAATAAAAGCAAAAGGAATGATTCTTTTAAATATGCATGTATACATAAATCTATTATATAAAACATCAAAATTGTTACATTTATTTTGAAATGATCAACTAGTATCAAATAATTCTTGGTGAGAACAAATATACTTATCATAAAATCAGTATGTTCTATACTCACATTCAACACATTAATTTATAACATTCATTTTCTGTAGTTTACTTTTCAATTTTANAGGGAAAGAAACCTGCAGAAAAGTTTAGTGTTTTTAAAGAAGAAACGGAAATAAATAACAAGACTGACAATCAATCTAATGAACCAAAGGAATCTTGTAGTAATAAGAATGATGACTCTAAAAGTAGTCATGATTTTAAATCTTATACGATAAATAATTTCAGAAGGGAAGTTAAATTAACGAGCGTGTTAAGGTTGCGGAAAGAAGTAGAAGACGAATTGCACGAAGGATTGAAACAAATTTTGTCAGACCTAATTTTTGTTGGCTGCATAGATGAACATTTTGCACTCATTCAAAGTGGAGTGAATTTATATCTTTGCAACACAAAGAAATTAGCGTAAGTTAATTATAAACTCTATTCATTCTATTTTAAATATAGTTTAGAAGTTGTACAAATAATTTTAGATACTTTTATACTTTAGGGAGGAACTGTTTTACGAAATTATGCTTTATGATTTTGCAAACTATGGTGTTATTAAATTCTCCGTGAGTATTAAGCTTAGACTCTTATTATCGGATTTATGAGTACCGAAATTAAAAAGATTCTCAAGCATTGTACATTAATGTTTACTTGTTCCTAGGATCCGATTCCTTTATATGATTTGGCTATGTTAGGACTGGAGAGTAGTGAGGCTGGTTGGACAGAAGAAGATGGAAAAAAAGAAGACTTGGCAACAAGTGTTAAAGAACTTCTATTGGAGAAAGCAGATATGTTGAAGGAATACTTTTCAGTTGTTATAGACAAGAAGGGAAACCTGAAATCCTTGCCAGTTCTACTAGGTATAAATATTTTGATAAAACTAGTGTCTAAAATATTGTAGATCATTTATTTTTTTTTTCCTTCAGAGAAGTATTTTCCATATGAAGCTGGCCTTCCTTTGTATATACTACGTTTGGCTACCGAAGTAGAGTGGTCAGCAGAACAATCTTGTTTCAAAACTTTTTGCAGAGAAACTGCAATGTACTACAGTCGTATGAATCCTGTACATAACACTCATGATTGGAGGTACATTACAGAACACGTTTTATATTCTGCAATTAAAGAGAGTTTACTTCCCCCTAAGCACTTTGCACATGATACAACAATACTGCAGATAGCAAACTTGCCTGATCTATATAAAGTTTTCGAAAGATGTTAGATCATGTATAGAAGCCCTCTATTTAAATTACAGATTGGTATTCCTTTTGGTTGTGAATCGAACGTGTAATTAGTANNNCTAATATGTTTACAAAAATTATATTATCTTTGACCAATGTTATAGTAAGCCAGAAAGATATAATTTTAATTACATCATTTATTTGTAATAAAATATTTATTTAATGAATTAAGTGTGAATTAAACTATCTTAATTAAACTGATATATCATTTCGGTTTATTTTTGTAAAGAAATGTAACAAATAAAAGACAATAACAAATAAAAGCAAAAGGAATGATTCTTTTAAATATGCATGTATACATAAATCTATTATATAAAACATCAAAATTGTTACATTTATTTTGAAATGATCAACTAGTATCAAATAATTCTTGGTGAGAACAAATATACTTATCATAAAATCAGTATGTTCTATACTCACATTCAACACATTAATTTATAACATTCATTTTCTGTAGTTTACTTTTCAATTTTAATTATCATTAACATTTGAATCAATGGATTATATCTTGATTCCAAGGATTATGTTCTCATTCCTCTTTTATTTAATTAATACAAAACAATAAATTATCCTTTAGCAACACCAACTAATGCTGGTCTCACTACTCGTTCATGCAATTTATATCCCAGTTTAGATACAACTACAACTGTTCCTGGCTCTTTACCTTCAACTTCCTATGTAGAAATGTATTTTATTAGAACTATAAATATAGCATTGAAATACAATCTAAAACTCAAATATATGTATCTAAAAATTTACCTGTTGAAATAATGCTTCATGTTGATTAGGATCAAACTTTTCGTTCATTGGATTCAGTGATACTAAACCATGCTTCTTAAACACCTGTAAAGAATCATTTGAAAGTAATGTATATAATATTTTCTTTTAATACACATAATTGATGCCGTTATAGTTTTTTGTTTACTTTATGTAGCTGTGCTTCAGTCATCGTTAAACCCTCGTATAATGTTTTTAAATGTGGATTCTCATTCGTTAGTTCATCTTTTGGTACACTCTCCGTAGCTTTGCCCAAGATATCTGCTACTTCTAACAAATCTTTACAGAAACTTTGAATACCAAATAATTTTGCATCATCAATTTGTTTCATTAATCTAATCCTAAGATTCTCCCCATCCGCGAGCGCTCTTTTGTATTTGTCCTCTAACTCACTCTTACTACTTCTTAGATCTGTTAATTCTTTATTAATTAGTTCGAGATCTGCTTTCAATTTTTTCTCAGTTTCCGTGGGATCCGACAACGGGGAATTCTGTTCTCCACTATCAGACTTTTTTTCCTCTGTAATCGTACTGTATTCCTGTCTTTGTCGTGAAATATACGATTGTTGCGATAACCTATCAATTAACACAGAACGATTATAAAAATCATATTACGTGTGCAGGTTTATTATAAAATAAATAGCACGCTCAACACCATCAATATTTACGTTTTAATAAAATATTTAAGTTGTCTGTCTGTTTTAGGTAACACCGAACAATATTTCGAGAGACAAAAAATAAAGAAACAAATGAATAGAGGATATATTTTGTTACGTATATCACTGTTTTATTATACAAATCTATAATAATATGATCAGGAAGAGAATAAATGTTATTTAATAATCCTAACCTCTACTTGTAAGTTGCAAAACGTGTGTCGAATTTTACACGCGTTTCGGCATCATAACAAATTAAGGAAAGCTAAGCCTTACCTAAGTAAAATATTTTTATTGATATTGTGCAAACTGTCAATCGTGATACGAGTGAATCTCAGTGCAACCGGTGCCACAATCGATGCCATTTTTCGGAATTTCACGGAAAAACAGAGATCGATAAATGATGAAATCGCTACCGCTACGATCCTCGTGCCTTCTCAGTGGTTCTCAAACATTTCTCAGTTTTTCATGATGCAAGAGCGATTCTGCTCTGCCGCACAAGATTTCGTCTTGTTACGTAAACGCATATAAATGTTCATCATTTTCAGCTCTAAGAATACAAATTGTAAAAATATGCATTGTTCGTTAAATGTTATGAAGCAACATAAAAATAAAACTGCATACGTTTCGGTTCCTTATAAACATATTCTAGAAAACGTTTGTTTCATTGTCTTCATATTTGTATATATGTAGATACACACTATAATATGTAATGCTATTGTATTCTACTGCATATTTACTAACGACTGTTCATTTGACTCGTGATATTTTCAATGTTTTATTGGAATGAAGTGATACAATACAATGAAAACTGTTCACGATCGTTCTGTGGTTCCTGTATATGCATACCCTTTTGGATACCTGTGTAATTTTTATTTACAAAAATTAAAATAATCACTGAATGCATTCAAACAAGCGAAACCGCATCTTCGATAGCAAAAAATTAATTTTACAGCGATTTTCTGATACTATTTAAATTCCACGAATATACAATAAGTCAACTGCGAATTCTTATGCTAAAATAAGTTTTTGTGAACAAAATAAATAATCGAAAGAATTGTTTTACTCTATGAGAGATTTTGTCATATTCCAAAGAGAAAACATTATTCGATATCGAGTTTCAAAATTTCAAAAATGCAACAAATGCATAAAATCCGCAGTCTAATAATAAACTAGAAAATTCAAAGTTCTGTTCGTTACGCATACGATATTAAAAGTTGGTCAAGTATTATATTCTGAAGGATGATTTATCATTTCTATTATACTAGTATTGATAAATAAGAATAATTTGATTTGTTTCTTGTAAACCTACTGCGTGTAGTTCTTTTTAAAATATCTGTTAACATCACGATTTCTCTTACTCGCGTTTTAACGCAATTACTTCCTTTCTTTATTAGAAGTATCGTTTAATTAGCAGGGAACTTTTCATGTGAAATTAGGGAAACAACGCAATTGTGTCGCTTATAAACGAAGATGAATGTTTGGTGGCAAGTTGCTTAGCTCCATTGTAAGCACAATAAATATTATATGATGCTCTTGACTGTATGTAGTTAGAAAAAAAGTGAAATACGTAACACGTTAAATAGCACTACTTTCTTTAAACGTACAAGGAAAAAAACATAATTTGGTTCGATAATTCTGTGTAGCCATTGCCCTTCAATTATCCATAATCAGGCATTGTACGCGTCTTAATTATCATACCATGTTCAACATTTAATACAAAAATTAATCTATCTTTATCTAGTATTATATTCCAAGTGTGCAAACGTCGAACAACAAATTCTACTGGTAAAATTACTTAATCGCTACACTTTTTTTTAATGTACATAAATAAATCATTTATCAATCAACTATATATGCTTTCCGCGTGCGTCTAGCAGATTAAACGTCAATTTTTTTCATTTGCTTTATAATCGAGGGATAAATCGAGGTCTACAAATACTTCAAGAAGTTCCTCAGCACACGAGTCTAAAAAATGTACAAGTCGTTGAAGCTTGTACAAAACTAGAAATGTTCATTAAGACTTGTCTTTTATCTTTACATATTAAAGTGAAAGTTGCGGAGCAGGTAACTACTCTTTTGGATGTGCCTCAAAATGTTTGGTATTTTGGCTTTCTGTTCGAAAAAACTGTTTGCGTGTGTATGTGTGTGAATTGTGTTTACGTATTATATGTATGTGTCAGGCGTAATGCAAAAAACGGAGCCGATCACACATTATCAACCGTTTGACATCATTTTTGAAAATATCTAAAATATATAAGGGTTAGAATCCTTCTTGATACTGTTTCGAGTCTAATTTCGTTTGGATCACCTCCAATTGTCTCTTTGCTTCGCATTGTGGAAAGTTTTGTAAATCGTAATATTGTGGCGCTATTTTTAGCAACCAATCGGCTGTGAAGAATAAAAGTATTAACTATTAATGAAAGTTCTGTGTATGATATAGCAATGATCTAAATACTCACGTTTGATATCAGTAACTGTTCTAATGTAATTTTTAGTCGTAAGCACGAACTCATTATAGATCACCCATTCAGGCTTGTGGTCTAAACAACTGCTTGGATGAAGCTGTACAATTTGATTATCTTTGATGGTTAAATAATGTCCAGTTCTCTCCAAGTGAGCAACCTGCATACAAAAAAGGGGAGGGAAAAAATGATAGTTGTATTATTTATTGTAAGAGGTAAAAATTACAGTCAAAGGCGACAGTACCTGCATGAAGAAGCCGTTCACTAACGCTTTTCTGATATTAATATAATAATCTTTTGATGTAAAATCCGTCGAGGTACGTTTTAAAGAAAATCTATCCATTATTCGGCTTAACTGTTGCCTGACGTTGTCGCCACTTTTCAGAGATCGGTAATTGACAAAGTTGTCGTAACACCATTGTGGGTCTTCGAAGTCTGCGAAAAAGAAGGTCATTGGAGCCAAGATTCGATAAAGATTCATATAATTCAATTATTTACTCGATACTTACTTTGTTTAAAAGCGTGATACACGTTTAACAGCGTTAAGTGATCTCCATCGATGTGTGCAAATCGCATTTTAGCGTCATCCGCAGCCTTCTTTGATTCATTGGGCCTCACAAAACACTGTGGGACTAATACAATATCAATCATCAATATAAAACCACGTTACCTTACCACGAACCTGACGTTTTCTTAATAGCTTTTATTGTATTAACAACATTTCGATTTAAAAAGAAAGAAATATACAAAGCGGACACGAACCTAGTATTGTTTCTCGAAAAACAAAATAGTCTTATTCATACGTTACCTGAAAGCATAGCAGTAATGCTAAGAATCTCATTACTGCAGTTATGATTGCAAGATGCAATTAGCATTTTCGCTAGTTGAGGGTCCAATGGAAATTCTGCCATCACAGCTCCCAAATCCGTGAGATTTCCGTCGTCATCTAGTGCTGCCAAATAATTTAGAAGTTCCAGAGCTCTCATGAGAGTTTCTGGAGCAGGGGGATCCATGAAATCAAAGTGAACCTACAACCAATAACAAAACATATCATAACATCTGCCTCATTTAGATGAATGAGATAATCTTCCTACACGTACTAAATCATCGATGCCAAGCTTTTTCAGTTGTAATACAACACTGCCAAGATTTGATCTTAATATTTCAGGATACGTATTTTCTTGCATTTCGTTCTTGTATGCTTTTTCCGTATATAGTCGAAAACATTTGCCAGGTCTTGTACGACCGGCTCTGCCCGCTCTTTGTTGAGCAGAAGCTTTGCTAATAGGTGACACTAGAAGGGATTCCACACGAATTCTGGGATTATATACCTGTTAAAAAAATAATTATTATTATAGAAGGACAATATTCGCACGGAAACGTTAAGAAATACAGCAAAACAAGATGTATGTGAATATTTACCTTCTGTTTCGCGAAACCGGGATCTATTACAAAGACGACACCGTCGATAGTTAATGATGTTTCTGCAATATTAGTTGAGACTACTACTTTTCTACCAATAGCACCATTTGATTTTGTGGGTGGTGCTGGTTCGAATATTCTCTGTTGGAGATTCGGGGGCAGTGTAGAATATAGTGGTATGCATTTTAGTTCACCTACGTCCGTACCTAAATTATCCATTTCTCTTTTGATTCTCTTACATGCTTCTTCGATCTCTTCTTGACCAGTTAAAAATAGTAACAAATCTCCTGCTACCTCCTCACACATGTGTATCTGAGTAACAGTCCTGATAGCTGCTTCTAAATAATCTCTTTCAGGTTCAGGTGTATAAAAAATTTCAACAGGATGCGTTCTGCCAGGTACATTCATTAAAGGTGCATTATCAAAATACTGTTGAAATTTCCCAGCATCTAATGTTGCACTCATAATCACAAGCTTCAAATCTGTTCTCTGTTTAATCACTTCTTTCAACACACCCATCAATAAATCCGTGGCTAAAGTCCTTTCGTGAGCTTCATCTAATAGAATCACTTGGTAGGCCTCAAGCATTGGATCTGACATCCCTTCACGAAGAAGCATACCATCAGTCATATACTTCAATACAGTTTTTGGAGTACTGCAATCTTCAAAACGGATACTATATCCGACTTCCTGACCTGATGAAAATAATTCATAATTCAGGAAACTATAAAATCCACATTAATGATAAGCTATAGTTTTGAACAAACTGTGCTATAGTTAATTTACCTAATGCAACATCCATTTCCTCTGAGACTCTTTGTGCAACAGACATAGCTGCCACTCTTCTTGGTTGTGTACAAGCAACTCCTTTGATGCCCATACACTTTGAATATTCCACACACCATTGTGGTATTTGTGTTGTTTTACCTGATCCTGTTTCACCAACGAGTACAATACACTGATGCTGAGACAATAACCTCATAAAATCAGCACGATACTCGAACACTGGCAAGGTGATCCGCTTTTTATAAAACTCATGAAATCTTGGTGTATAAGGCAAACCAGTGTAAGGGTTCAATTGAACCTGACTTTTTGGTGCTGCTGAGGGTATGGTTGTGCTATTGGATGTTGAGCCATCTCTGTGACATAATAAATACGTAGATAAATATTTAACAAGTTTTAAAAGAAATTAGACAACGAAGGTTGAGAACACTCAATTGGTTATAAGAATCAGATTTTTGGAAAACAATGGTATTTCAATTTTTGACGAAATGTCATTCCTATATGATTATAATTGATGATTCTATGCGTAGACGATCTATAGAATCGTTGATTAGATCACTCAGAATGAATATTTTCTATCACATTATTAACGGTAACAGTGAATCACAGGAAAGGAAATTCAGTTGAGAACCTTTACACCTGAGTTGACCAAACAAGTCAACAGCAACAGTAAAGATTTACAATACAATTTAGGGACGTAAATTCCAGAGAAACCTTTTATCGCGTTACTCTTGACGATCAATATGATCTTTTAACAGAAGCTATTTGGAACGTACAAGAATCGTTGAACAAAATTTCTGATAGCATTGGAAAAACTTGTAACAATGCACATGGCAAGATATTTTGACAAGTTTTCCAAATTCCACGATTGTACGTATGGTAAATCACTCACGCTTTCCGTTTAACATACGGATCCACAACCTCGATCCTCCGTTTTGACATAATTCTTGTCAGTTCGTAGGCAAGAAAAGCAAAATCTGTTTACGAACTTCGATACACGGCGTCACAAAATGGCAAACTGGCTACAGCTTCCTGTAATTGTATTCGGAAGAATTGACGAGAGATGGCGTGTTCAGCATTATAAAATTATGGCGTAACAATATATCTTTCTACGCGCTTAATTTAAAATGGTAAATATCATCACGCAATTCTACATTCAAATAGGTTCGAACTCTATTCGATTAAAATTTCCAATTTGATTAATTGATATAATTAAGATTAATCTATTTTATCGACGAGGTCACTTGTTTATGGGAATCAATGAATGTAGATTAAAAAACATATTTATTTTTCGGTATATTACAAGTAGAAATGTGCGATTAAAATTGTCTAGCTATTAAAGAGGTATATTTCGGATAATGTACATAGCTTCGTTGTCACATCCAAATAGTAGGGTTGATCTGTTTATGTCAATACTGTTTATTGGTTTGTGCATAGTGCTGCAGAGCGATGTTACATTTATTCTGCAATTTGCCCCGATTGTATTTAACCAATGTGTATTTGTAGGATCTAAAGCAAATAGCACATTAATATGTCGCAATAAAATTTCTAATCACATAATATTTAAAGTTTTTAATATTCAAGTTTTACCAAGACTCAATTTTGAGTGTTGAGTGTTATTCCAGTGCCACAGTTCGCCGCTATTTGAACAGGAAAATAAGTTTTCTGGTCTATCAGGGTGAAAGAGAATTTCGCTAACAGCCTTGGCGTGAGCATTGAGTTGAGACATTGGATATGTATTGTGTCTCAAATCCCACACTGTTAAGCTACCGTCACCACCACCGGCAACAACAATATGCCTCTGTGTTGGATGATGCGCGATACTCGTGGCTTCTGTCTACGGTAAATTTTAATATTTTATTAACATACAATGGTCCAACTTTATATGGATAAGAGTATCCATACTTTTGCTTGCTCTGAGAGCATGAATGTTGTTGCAGGAAAATCCTGATTGTTTCTCAAGTCCCATACTTTCATGTGACCTCTAAGATTTCCTGTAAGTATTTCATTGTGTCTTAAGAAATCGACACAGTACAAGGAACAGCTATCAGCTTCTTCTAAAAACACATTTGGATATTTAATAATTAAATATTGTATTTATACACAAAAAATAAAATATAAAAAATTTTATTTACCAATAACTCTAACAGGCTTCTTCTGTCCAGCAGTTAGAAGATTGATTCTTCCATCTTCTCCTACAGAAACTATATCTTGTTCGAAAGTAGACAATGCGGTGCAAGATGCATAATCAGATGTTCTACTGTAAGTATGTATAACATATGTATATAAATAAATATATATATAAATAGTATACAACAAGATGATATAATGGCAGATTAATATTTCACGAGCATGTATACTTGAATTTATGTAGGGATTCCCAGGACGCGTGTGCCTTAAATTGTGAATATGGATTCTCATGGATCTGTAATAATCTTACGGTGCCAACGGATGAGGATACCACAAAGAAATCTCTTGAAATAAACTATAAAAAATGACCGAATGATAAATAAAAAGAGACTAAATGATTAATATTATTAAATATAAATTATATACTTTAATTTCAGTCACGTTTCCAAGAATTGCATAGGAGGTAACTACCGCTGGATAAGACTCGCCGACATCGTTCACTTCGAACGTCCAATAGGTCACTTTATTCACCTGTATCGAACGTCATCATCAATTAACTTAAACTTTAAATGAGTTCAAGCAAATTTATGCTAATCATTAGATAATGCATGTTAAAAAATAATAAATAGAGTAATACAAACACGAGGATACTACAGGTTAAGTTTGTTAAAGATAACCTTACCGGATCATCCCAACTGCCGGTCAAAAAATTCGAAGCTTCCTCGAAATTCTCGTGTTTCCATCGGATTTTAGCAATTTTTTCCGACACGAACGTTCCTTGAACATTTTCGGTCATCCTGTGTCACTTAAACCTGAGCAATTTAAAATGAAAAAACGGCTGGAAGCCGGACCAACGTTAACAGACGCACGCGTTCCCACCGCGTCTGTCAAAAAGACCGCCAAATACTACGGGCGCCTCTTTCAAAAATCCACGTGCTCGTCGATATCTATTTTTGTCTTTCTCATGGACAGTAAAGAAGAAACATTTTTTAATCTGTCTACCGAAGTTCTAGCGACTCTGAATTCCAGTATCTTCTAAGATTTTCATCGAGATTTTGAACGTTATCATTTTTTGAAAATTCAATTTCTTTCGAATTAAATTGTGGAGAGATCCGTTGACCAGTGCTCTCACGAATAAAGATACTAATCTTCTGGGCTTACCATTAAACAGAATTTATGAAAGAGGAACGATTTCTATAGGAAAGTCACAAAGGGGTAGGGATCAAGGTATAATTTATAAATCATAGAAGATGAAGAGGACAGTTACGCGGTGGCCAGGTCGTGTAACAGACGCGTGTGTACCAAAATGTTCGCTTTCGAACGATTCTTTATTTAAAATTGCTTGCTTCCAAACACGATTCTGTATCATCTTCACGTAATTCAAATCGAAACTGTTGTTGTTCAGCCTTCGAAACAATGGTAAGATTAATTAAACAGCAGAAGTGATTTGTAATGATTGCAGATCGAACACCTCCCAGCGATGACATCGTACGTTTTATTGGTCTTGTCTCTCAATACGCTCTATTTAACTTGCCGTGTTGCAAGCGTTGCGAGCGCGTCGAAACTTCGTAAGTGTTCAAAATGGATAATAGTGTGATCAGGAATAATCACGATCAGATCACAATCATACATTTATGAAACATTTTCAAACGAATTTCAGTGTCCACAGATGTAAACGTAACGAACAACGAAGACATTACAGAAACACAACATGCTACCTGCAAAATTGCTACCGATGAATTGGTTGCGAGTGCAAAAGCCACTGTGACCAGAGTGCTTACCGGAGCTTGCACCGCAAGTAAGTGTTGGTATTCAGTTGGTTTTCCAAGCAGGTGAAAACATTAAAAAATTGTTTCGATCTTTCGAAAAATGATCTCTTCAGAGGCGATCGACGAGAGGCTGCGATCCCTAGAGAAGAACTTGACGCAAGAACTGGAGGAGATCAAGACGATGCTTCACAGCCTTTTGGAGAACAAAAGATCGAAGCTCAATAACGATAATCTAGGAAGTTATCGAATCGACCTCGAAGATAATCGCAAAATCGTCTTTCGATCCCCGAGGCAGGCCGAAATCGACGCGTTCAACAATACCGTGCAGAGAGTTTCATCAACGAATGGTTCATTTATTTTCTACAATTTGATCGCCGTGCTAGGCTGTTCTCCGCGATCGATTGCGTTATGTATTCACCGAGATCGAGAACACATGCTGCTGGAACCTTCTCGTTTCGCATAATCGATAAATTAGGTTGTTCAATAAGCTCGGCCCTCCTCAACGTGTCCTCCGAGCTATCGGACAACTTAATACCCGCGGAAATGTCGTGAAACGCAACGAACGAGAGATTATCCTACGTTTTGCAGAGTCATCGAGCGTCTTCTTCTACTACTGGCAGATAAAGAACTTCGACAAGAAGCTAGCAAGCTGGAAAACGGCTCGTTCCGAGCGAAGTCCAACTTTTTACACGGCTCAGAACGGTTACGCCATGTATATGAAAGCGACACCGCGCTATTTTCCCGATGGCACCGTCTTCATGGCCGTCGGACTAACGCGTGGTGCTTATGACTCCCTCTTGGAGTGGCCGTTTTCCTATAAAGTGCGCCTCGAGGTAATAAAACGCGGCAGAAACGCTTGACGAAGTTTCTCGATCGTACAACGTCTGGATCGCTAGATTTTAGATCATTCTGAGGAACAGCTGCGGCAAGATCGACGCTCCCGAATCTGGGATCCGAGCACGCTCTGCTCCGATTATTTTTGGGGCCGTCCAAAATTAACTGGAGAACCGGACAATCCAGAGTGCATCGGATCGAGCATCCCCCGCCAAGTTCTGTTCACCAAGCTACCGTTCGCCGATGGTGGGTCATCGAGGAACACTAGGTACCTCTGGAACGGTAGCGTTACCATCAAACTGATGGTCCACATTTAAATATACTCTCGAAATAAATAATTGCGATCAGTTTACGATTAACACCGATAGTAGCGTCACATTTTATTGGGTCTCAACGAAGGTACATGTGACGCGTCTCTAAATCGAACGGTCTATTTTGTGTCGCTTGGACTACGAGCTCTATACGTTTGTACACAACTGTTTGGAGCCGGTGCGGTGGAGAGATCAGTAAAATTTAACCATTTCTACCGGGGACAACGGAAGCTTCTAATTCTTTTCTTGCTTCGACGAATAATTTTCTCACTTCATAAATTATGCATATATTATAGAATTGTATTTACGTGAATTGCTGTTACGTTTTCATAGGTATAATTGAACAATCACCCGGTCGAATGGTCAACAAAGTCCTTCTTTGTTTGCTACCCGATAGAAGTGTCCGCTGGACTCCGGTTCATCTGAATTGGTCCACGAAACTCTACGCATCTGCTCAACGCAGCTTGTCAATAAATAAATGAAGATGAGGGAACGAGTAATTAAAGCAAGGTTCTTCCGTGTTCACGCAGCTCGGCGCGACGAGGTTCGCTATTGTCCGCGCACGGGTTTAGGCGATCGAATTAATCCGAAGAAGCCAACGGATCCGCCAGCCTCTTGCGAACAGGTGTTCTACCAGCGAGATACACCTGCGGGACATCCGAAAGCTGGTACTCGTTCGTCTCACGATCGATTCTCATATTTTGAGACGCGGCCCTCAGCAACGCTTTATACACGGAAACCGGAAGTCGCACGGTTCCGTCGAGCTCGAATTCCTGGGCTGGCAGATTTCCCGGGAAGCTCCTCTTCCTTCCGCAGCCTATAACCAATTCGTTTATCGGTAAACTCGCCTCGTTATGTCTTAATTACCGGTACAAGCTAATATCCTATACCCCCCCATTTCAATAATTTCATTAATTCAATTCCTTAAATTCCCGAAAATCTATTAACAGTCCACGCAAGGTTCAAACTATTTTGAATTGATTGCAAGAACAAACTTTGAACGTAGATTTACCAGTGAACGCGTTGCAAAACGGTCTCTTGATCTTGAGCATCTCGTCTGTGGTCAGCATATCTAGCAACTGTTCTTGGATCTGGAAATCGGAAGATCTTATTAGCATCGAATAACGTTTGTTTCGATTTCATGAATCTCTTCAGAGGATGTTTTCTGAAGAGATTGGATGGAATACCGGCAGTATATTGTCACCTTGTTTTGTGATTGCTCCGTGCGCGTTGCATCTGCGAGAAACGCGAGACCAAGGCATAAAGCGACACAGGCTATCGTCTGAAAAGATTGATCGATGTCGATTAACCGACGACGCACAGTCATTAATAAATTCTCCTCGTTATTCGGTAAATATTAAACGACGCGACGCGACGCGATGTCGAGATATCTCGGTAATTACACTGGGCCACGCGTAATTTCTAATAATCACATACACCGTTTACGTAATAAGTGTCGTATGCGAAGCTTTCGAATATGTGAACCGTTTGTAATCTGCTTACGACTTTAATCAGGTTTGTACTGTGGTTAATTAATATCCAACTATACTGGCGGTCGATCGCATCTCGGAGCAGTGTGTTCGTCATCGGAGGGAATAATTACTTTTAATGAAAATAACCGATGCGAGCTAGCTGCGAAAAAAATAACACGATGGCGATAGACGCTGAAAATGCGCGATTATTTAGAATTTAGTCGATTTCGAGTAGATGATTATTATTAACAGCCTCTCTATTCATCGAAATATCGTTTCTTTACAACAAAGATTACAGTGAAAAATCTGTTCGAAGCTATAAATCAGATAAACTCCGTATTCATGCATTTAGATTTCAATATAATCTATAAAACTCATAGAAACTCATTGAAACTAGGAGTCTGCATTATTGACTCACAAGAATGTACTGCTAACTGAATTCATCTTTGAACTATTCGAATATACACGAGAATGATATTTTTGATATTTGAAGGCATCAAATAGATAACGTTGCGCGATGACACTTCTCAAAAGTTTCTATGATGAAAGTCTGATAAATGGCCTCGAAGAAGAATGAATATAGAATATACATAGAAGAAACAGGATCTTACCTTCATGTCGAATCTTCTCCCGAATTGACACAAACGGTACAGCTCGAAGTCCTCGATGGTATAGTTCCCAAAAAGTTTCGAAGTTCTTCCGATTCGATCACGTTCTCTGACCAGGGGTTGTTGGTCGCACGAGCAGTCAGGTTCGCGTATGAGGGATGAAATCGCGCGTCGCCTCTTCAAATACAATCCCCCACCTTTCGTCATGGTTCGAGGGCGTAAATACATGCGCTCGAGAAACGCATGACCGTTCATAATGGTCTTTTGCGATCTGCATACTTCCGGAATCGCATAGAAATGATGTGCTTACACCCTGTCAAAGGGTAAGAAGTCCTTGGGTTTATGGATAATCGACGACCGCACTCGTCAAAGTCAGAAGATGAATGGGGTTGGGAACATTCGCTGTCACAAGGACAACTTTCCATAAGATGTCCTCTTGACGTGAGGAAGTTGCATGAATTTATTGCTTAATTGTTTGCTAATCTTTCTTATCAAGAATCAATACTCAATAAGTGATCTTTGTATACGATCTTTTAAGCGTTCTGTAGCAATTGTTAACCATTTTCATAAAGTGCTTAAAAATTGCAATCCGATTACTGTCAGAGGTTAATTAATGTTCCCTTCCCCTAAAGAAACTGTTACACGCATTTAGAGATGTAAGTGCTGAGGGAACGCCCTATGAAATCTCTCGATGGTTTCTAACCACCCGCGGTGTTAACACGTTTTTATCGAACGAAAACCCACGAAGATGATAGGCGAAATCCGGAAAATATGCAAACATCGGAAACAGAAGGTCAGATCGTCGATCCGAGGATCGATCTGATGGCATGGAATAGCCCAGCAAAAGCTGACCGATAAAAGTCTTTGTGTAAATCAGAGGAAAGCAGCCGGGGCTAAGTACTTACAACGTTCGCACATCAGAACCCGCTGAGTTACGATAAGGTCGTTCAACCTTTGTCCAATCGTTCCTCCCCTGATCTTTTTTGATCATTAAAATTTTTTAACCTTCTCTCACAATCATTTAGGTATTATTATATAATCATAATCTCTCATAATCATTCAACTATTATATTTTTTCTTAGGTTCTAACTGCTTTCAGAATTTTATACGAACATCTTATTAATCGGATTCTAAATGATTGCGCTGTATCTAAAAGAAACGCAGATCAAGAATATGTACTTGTTTGATGAGCACTGGATTCGTCTATAATAAATAAATAAAACGATACAGGCTGATGTTATATAGAATTTTTATATAAATGAAGAAAAGGTTTTCATATTTGCAAGGTACTTAATGTAACTTGTATATGTATATCGTATGTAATATTATTTTTCTATTCACATGTACTATCATATTTTGTTCTCCACCTTCTCGAAGTCTTTCGAACGACTTTCAGTAGTACAGAAAATATATGGTCAATATTAAGTTAATCGACTTAATATTGTAAATCATAACCGAGTTCACACCTTATGAATAAGACATGCGTCGAGGTCGAGAGTAGTATAACCGTTGATATATAGCGTCTTCCGCGTATAAAATGAATGAACATTGCCGTGAGAAGTGATATTTCCTTTTTTCTATAAAAAGATGTTCCATGTATGAATTATTTTATAAAAAGTTCAACAGAAACGTAGAAAGGATCAAACAAAAAGGGAATAATTTTCAGTGACGGTTGAATTACATTTTTGGAATAAAAAAATTAAAATTACTACTTTATATTGACTTTAAAATGATGCCGAATGAAGTGATCAATAACACACATCCAACACACATTTTATCTTTTAATAATCACTGTGTGATTTTTATAGAGCGTCACATCCCAAACGCGAATCCGAAAACCGAATTGTTTTCAAAAGACAGTTTTCATAAAAACACGAGTTTTTGTGAGAGCGTGCGATTTTTAGCAAAAACGACCTATTGCACGGAAACTACAAACATTAGAAAAATTATATTGAGCTGAAAGAAAGAGAAAAAGTTCTTGAATATGTCAATATCGATATTCATAATATTTTATGCTTCTAAATAGTATTAAATGACCGTCAAATTTTTTAAAAATATCGAAGCACGTATTTTCTATGCAATATTTTTACATATTTATGAGAAGTCGTTCACCTGTCACGAAAACTGACCACGACATATGATTCTGTAAACATTTGTGAAGAAGTAACTATGGAGAGAAAGTATCGAAGCGATTTTAAATTCGAGTAGGTCAAAGAAATGTACTCACGCGTACATGGTATTTTGCCGCCGCGTGGTTGCTAGTCGCTTGCCTCGACTTGGCAGTGCCACAGATACGTGTGATCAATGCCGAAAAAGACGTCCAATGGGGCATTCTTTTTGTGTGCGTAATGATTTGATTTTTTTCTAACATTTAACTATTCTCACAAAAACTCGTTTTTTTTTAACTGGGGTGATAGAGCAATTCGGTTTTCGGATTCGTGTCTGGGAAGTGACGCTCTACAAGTATCAAAGCAAAAAAATATTTGATTTGTTGAATAGTGCAATATTATAAAACGAAATTTGTTAAATAAATGTTCTGTTTCTTTTTAATGTATAAAAATCTCATCCACACCAGTTGCCTGGATAGCTCAGTCGGTAGAGCATTAGACTTTTAATCTAAGGGTCCAGGGTTCGAGTCCCTGTTCGGGCGTATAGAATTTTTTGTGATCAAAATTTCTTGGTCGAAAGCAATTTCCGTTATTGTGAAAAATTACAGAAAAAAATATCAAGATCAACTGTGTAGTGATAAGATAGTAAGCAATGGAGCAGCGTAAATTGGGGTACATTTTTGGAAAAGAAACTCTTCGATGTCATATAAAAATTAGATCTTTAATGTCTATTCAGTTTCATTTTTCATTGTATACTTATTTTATTTCTATATAAATCGAGTGTATATTGATTTGAGCACCTTTTACAGCATACCTACAATAATATTTGGTTGAAACGAAACGCTCGATATTAAGTAAATGCGTTAAGTACATCAAGTGTCCCGTATTTTCTTTTTTTCGAATCAATGCAATTAAATANACATGCGTCGAGGTCGAGAGTAGTATAACCGTTGATATATAGCGTCTTCCGCGTATAAAATGAATGAACATTGCCGTGAGAAGTGATATTTCCTTTTTTCTATAAAAAGATGTTCCATGTATGAATTATTTTATAAAAAGTTCAACAGAAACGTAGAAAGGATCAAACAAAAAGGGAATAATTTTCAGTGACGGTTGAATTACATTTTTGGAATAAAAAAATTAAAATTACTACTTTATATTGACTTTAAAATGATGCCGAATGAAGTGATCAATAACACACATCCAACACACATTTTATCTTTTAATAATCACTGTGTGATTTTTATAGAGCGTCACATCCCAAACGCGAATCCGAAAACCGAATTGTTTTCAAAAGACAGTTTTCATAAAAACACGAGTTTTTGTGAGAGCGTGCGATTTTTAGCAAAAACGACCTATTGCACGGAAACTACAAACATTAGAAAAATTATATTGAGCTGAAAGAAAGAGAAAAAGTTCTTGAATATGTCAATATCGATATTCATAATATTTTATGCTTCTAAATAGTATTAAATGACCGTCAAATTTTTTAAAAATATCGAAGCACGTATTTTCTATGCAATATTTTTACATATTTATGAGAAGTCGTTCACCTGTCACGAAAACTGACCACGACATATGATTCTGTAAACATTTGTGAAGAAGTAACTATGGAGAGAAAGTATCGAAGCGATTTTAAATTCGAGTAGGTCAAAGAAATGTACTCACGCGTACATGGTATTTTGCCGCCGCGTGGTTGCTAGTCGCTTGCCTCGACTTGGCAGTGCCACAGATACGTGTGATCAATGCCGAAAAAGACGTCCAATGGGGCATTCTTTTTGTGTGCGTAATGATTTGATTTTTTTCTAACATTTAACTATTCTCACAAAAACTCGTTTTTTTTTAACTGGGGTGATAGAGCAATTCGGTTTTCGGATTCGTGTCTGGGAAGTGACGCTCTACAAGTATCAAAGCAAAAAAATATTTGATTTGTTGAATAGTGCAATATTATAAAACGAAATTTGTTAAATAAATGTTCTGTTTCTTTTTAATGTATAAAAATCTCATCCACACCAGTTGCCTGGATAGCTCAGTCGGTAGAGCATTAGACTTTTAATCTAAGGGTCCAGGGTTCGAGTCCCTGTTCGGGCGTATAGAATTTTTTGTGATCAAAATTTCTTGGTCGAAAGCAATTTCCGTTATTGTGAAAAATTACAGAAAAAAATATCAAGATCAACTGTGTAGTGATAAGATAGTAAGCAATGGAGCAGCGTAAATTGGGGTACATTTTTGGAAAAGAAACTCTTCGATGTCATATAAAAATTAGATCTTTAATGTCTATTCAGTTTCATTTTTCATTGTATACTTATTTTATTTCTATATAAATCGAGTGTATATTGATTTGAGCACCTTTTACAGCATACCTACAATAATATTTGGTTGAAACGAAACGCTCGATATTAAGTAAATGCGTTAAGTACATCAAGTGTCCCGTATTTTCTTTTTTTCGAATCAATGCAATTAAATAAATAGATAAAACACAACTACAGAGTACATTCAGTCTGTATAACATCTCCTCACAAATCCGTTTGTAAAAAGAAATGACACAAAATTGTGACATATAAAATAGAAGTGAACAATAAAAATGAATAATGAATGATTTAATAAACATGAGAATGAAGTTATCACGTCACAAAGGAGTTCAGTAATCTTTCGATCAACCATTACATATCATTAAAATTCTGAACATTCATGATAGCGTTATTAAAACGCGTTAAGACTGTTCCTTAACACTGCCATCAGGCATACCAAAAAATATTTTTTTTGCCATGTTTATAAATAGACCTGTTTCAACAACTCCGGGTATCATCGAAATTCCTGTATTGATTTCATCCCAGTTCCTCAGATTTTTTGGAAAGTGCCAATCCAAAATGAAATTACCATTGTCTGTTATGACAGGACCCTGTTGGTATAATAAACAGTATAAGTAAAATAATTTTAGTAGTTTCAATTATTGGTACTATAAGCTAAGGAGAGAAGAAATTCTTACAGCTTTTGCTAAGGCCATTCTCATTTTTACATTTCCTCCATAATTATCTTCTATTCTTTTTTGAATGGCAATGTATGCCATAGGAATTACTTCAATGGGAATGCCTTTCTTATATTGTTCCCCAAGTTTTTGAGAATTTTTCCTATAAATTATGGAATTAAAATAGTAAATGTATGTAAACAATAATTAAAGTTATACCTACGTATAATCAGCTACTATAATAAGTTGATTCGCGCAGGATGCAATAATCTTTTCTTGGAGCAAGCATCCTCCTCCACCTTTAATGAGATTCATATCGCAGTCAACTTCATCTGCTCCATCGATTGCACAATCCAACTATTAATATATAAATAATTCAGTACATATTGACCTTAGATACAATAAAATACAAAAATTGTTCATTACTTTAGGATAGGTTTCTAAATCACCTAGTGTAAGGCAATTATTCAATATTAATTGACGGGCTTGAAATGAGGTTGGAACACAGATGACATGAATATTTTCTTCTTTAACACGTTCAGCTAAAAAATACAATTGTTTTAATTATTTCATTTCATGTTTGCATAAGTGATTGGATTGTGTATAATAACAAAATGTATTACTTCTACACTTTTACTCCTGAAGTAGGAGAAAAATTTCACGAATCTCGTGATGGGATCAAAGATCGCATTTCATAATTATAACGTGCAAAATAAATGATTACAGCATAGCAGAGTCTAATTAAAATCTATAAACAATTTATGTAGGTGTAAAATAATGTAATATTACCGAGTCTATGAACAGCGTGTATCACGGTAGAACCGCTACCAATTCCGATGACGCTGTTATCCTAGAAAATAATAGTACGAAAAATTCAAAGTATAGGACGCCGGTGGCGTCCGCATAACCTCCCACTATATCATAATGCAATTCAAGAAAAAACTTACCTTCACGTATTCGTCAACTGCTTTGTAAGCCGCAATTTTCTTAGCATTTTCTAGAGGTCCCATCTTAAAAAAATGTCTTGAAATAGAGGTACAAGCTTTTGATAAAGAACCGAACGGTTTGAATGCAATACTACTGAACACCATGCGTACACATTACACCAATGATTGAATGAACCTTTCTGTGTACCTATGTACAATGTATTTACAAAATCATTCTTTGCTGACGAAGTGACGAGCAGTGACCAGCGAGAACTGCGTCAATAACGAATCGCGTTCGAAGCACGTGTCGAAGCGCTAAAATACAAATTCAAATAATTCGATCAAGATCAGATATTCGAACCAGAATTCTAGTTTATGGAAATACATAATTCTAAGTGCAACAGTTTTTGACGCATTATATAAAGTAAGTAGAAACAACAAGATTCAATCGAATTTCCATTATATTCAGCATCAGAGGCGAATAACACAAAATACAACCAAACACAATTTACATTTCAATAATTATTATGTATAAGATTTCATTTTAATTCTCTATCAGTACTTTAATAGTAATGTTCGTCTCAACACTTTCCGTTTCAACGTGTCACGCGCAGTACTCTCTCTCACACTGTTTGCGTTCGTTCATCAGGCTCGTACATTTTTTCTGTTATCGGTTAATTCTTAAAAATCAGGTAAAAATTCGCAAACCGTCATCATCGCATTGAGTGAATTTGTTCACGTACGTATTTCGAGCAGGCTTGGGGGAAAAAGTCGTTAGCAAAATCCATGTTGACAACACGTACTGTCTTGAGCGGCAACTTCATCAAGATCAAAAAGGGTTCCGGAGTCCACTTTGTACAACGAAGGACAAACTTTGGCCGTCATCGACGTGCAAAGCCGAATTAAGGTAATCTCGTGGGTGAATTATAGTCGTGTAAAATCTATATGATATTTTATCAATCGTACGGACACCGGGCTCTCATAATAAAATCAAACTCATACATCACCGACCTGCCTCACGAAAAGTTCCCGCGAAAACTGTTTCGTGTGATCGTGATGCAAAGCGAATACCTCACGTTGAAGCTTGCACACGTACGAAGCTGATAAAATTTCTTTTCTAAATACCATTTTCCCCTTTTTTTTTATTTTTCATTGAAATTCAAACGCTCGATCACGCTTAATACGGCCGTGTCGAGGAAAGTTTTACGACGATACTAATCGCAATGTCGCGAGTGTCAATGTTCCTATATGTGCAGAATCGCGTTGTTAACCTTACTTCGAAGACTTTACCAAGCTATAAAATCCAAGCGAAAAACCTTTTACAAAACGAAAAAGATAATTGTGTTCCTGTTTCCCCACCTTCTCGGCCAGACATACATTTATAGGCATTTGACATGCACACGGTATTTCTGTTTCTCTCTTCCTCATACATACACGCGTCCATATACTATTTTTTCGCTGTCTTTCTGTCCAATGAACTAGAAAGGACTTTGCAGAGAGATTCCGTCATGTAGACTCTTTTTTTGATTCTACTCTTCTATCCCGTACACCACCCGTGATTAATCGAAACAACAATAAAGAAAGAAAACCTGTGTCTAGATGTTGAAGGGCCACAAAAGCCACTACTTAAGTTTCTTCAACCCACTCTTCTTTACCTAGCGTTGATACATTCATCTATATGCGCTTTGCTAGTTGTTACAAATTTTTTTATCCTGCTCTCCTCTGCACACCACTCGCATCTTCCTTTCAATTAATTTCATTTTCATTTTCCTTCTACTTTTCTTTTTTTGTTAAGTAAAACTTGCCAGACTTTCGTGGTCTAATTACTGATCGATTTTACGGAGAACGTACACCGATCGAGAGACGATCCTGTCCCGATTGTACGGTTCGCACACTGGATATACAATACATTGTCGGTGACACGTTTTAATTATTCATCGAAAGAAATCGTACGCCGGAAGTCTATCTAGCTATCGATTGTAAACCAGCGAGTATCAGCGAGATACGACACGATTCGATCAACGAGTTTTCTCACGGACGCGCGACAACGTTAGTCAAATTAAAATGGTGTTCTTTTGAACATTTCTTTCTTGTATTCGTCTCGATTTACTTATTACGTTTTTAGAGTCTTTTGAGTTGCTTGCGTTCGTGCGTCTATCGAACGTGTACCACGAAATTCCTTGAACAAAAAAATCTCTGACGTGAGGAAGGCAACAGCGACAGTTGTCGTGCATATTATGCGTATGCATATTTATATCACAGTACAAAAATACTGTGAGAAAATATAGTATAATAAATATTCTTAATAGGAAAGAAAAGGTTTCCTTTCTCACGTTTACAATGTGTTTTTTTTTCTTTTTTTTTTTCATTTTTTGTTGGTTATTCGTTAGCAACTCTTTTCCTATTATCAGACAATTTCTTACAACGACAAAGTAGAGTAATTCGAGTGTGAGTGGAATCACGCGCCATTAACCTGACAACCGGGCGATTTCTATAAATCCAAGAATGATTACGTAAGTAGGTGGAAAAAAATAATCTAAAGTTTATAGCCCTATACGGTTGAACACCAATGATGAGTCAACTTGCCTTCTCCGGTTAGCAGGCTAAGTGGCAAAGCGTCGTTCAAATGTCAATGACATCTCTTTCGTCTGAAGTGATCGTACCGATGTATAATTATACAAACTTCCGCCATCTTGGGCTTCTATCTATCTACAAGCCCTAATTTATTATTTAATACTAATAAATCGATTATAACGATAAGAAAATTGTATCGCGATAAGAGCGTAATATATGAGAAATCATTGTATTCGATCGCATCTTGAAAATTTCTTTCCTCTACTCAGATTACTTTCTCGACCTTGCGATTTTCTTTTCTGCCTTTTTTGTTTTGTTCTTTTTTTTTGTATTTTTGGCCTCAATACGTGTGCATACATGCGAATGACCACTAGACCGCCAGATCTGTTGTTTCGCTGTAATTAAACTCAAATCAAATAATATTTTTTTCTTTTAGATGACTGAATTAGGAACAAAAAGTGGAATTATTTGAAACTTAATAGAACGTTTCGCAGTCTAGTGATCATCGATTATCGATCGTAAGAGGTAGAAAAAGTTTCCATTTACCACAAGAATTTCTACAATCGTTCGAAATAAGACTGTAATTTAAACTTCTACAAGCGGGACTCTTTCTTTATTCGACGAACAGCGGATAAAAAACATTTAGATCAAAGCTTTGCCAGCTTCTGCTGTCCGCTTACGGTACACAAACGTGCACGCTCATACATTTATTCGAACGTATGCCTGCGATACATATAAATATATTTGTGTGGTAAGTAAAATATAGTTGGAATAGAAGTCGAGAGCGTCGATTCCGCTGAACGGGAAAATTTTTCATCGAATAAAAAAGGAGACGGGAGTGGAGAAAGAAAAAGCGTGTTTTTTAATCCCTCCGATTTTTCTTGATATCTTAATGGCATCGTGTTCATGCAAATTCGTTGCCAAGTTCGCTCTTTTCTTTCGTTAGAAACGTTTGTCGCAAATCAAAAAAACATAGTTTTACTAGTTTTCGTTTTTGGAAACCTTTCGGTACAATAATTAAAAATTTTGTGATGTTCCCCGTTCTACTGACCAGTGGCGGATTATTTGAACCCCACATACCCGAAGACTCCGTTCATACAAAATTATACATTAGTCACTAATGTTTCCGTGATTTTAAATGAGGGTTCCCAAATCTTATTCTGCCTTAGGCCTCTCGAATGCATAATCCACCACTGCCACTGCATCTCGAAATGAGCGGAAACATTTCGAAACGAAAAGGGAGGGAAAAGAAGAGAGAAAGTTACGACGACTTCATATCTGTATAACGTAAAAAGCCGTACTCTCTTTACGGTTACGCCAAGGTTTCAACTTATCAAGGAAGTTAAAATGAAAAATCGGTAACAATAGCTCAGAGTTCGATTGAAAAGTAGCTGCAATTATTAGGTATCGGAAAAAGCACGCCTAATCAATCTTTATAAAATTTCTCTACCGCACAACTCTCTTGATTGAAAATGAAAGATTTGCCAATCAATTGTTCGATAATGACAACAATTTTTAACTTTTTTTAATATTGAAAGTTGTTGAAAAATCTATTGACAGGCTTCTGACAGTTAAGGAATTGAATAAAGATTTAGATTTTGATCATGTTCCTTCTTTAAGTCCACGTGAACTTTTTTCGACACTTAATATGCGGATTTTCTATATTGATTATAAACGCAATAATGAAATATTTAGCTAATTGGAACATGTTATTTTCAGCGATAATTACAACTTGCCGGGCGACCGCAGTGTAACGCTAATTACGATCAATCGGATTGTTGCTTGAGGCTTTCGAAATTCCGGAAGTGACGTAGAAACAAGGGGAACGACGCTAGTTTACTGCGGACAGAACAGCGGCGCTTTGGAATCGTGAAAGAAAGAATCAAGAGGCGCAGCACGTGCTAATCGTCGACTTTATATGAAGAAAGATGAATTCGATACATAGGAAAAGTCGGAGCCACTGTCGATGTTCTCGTCGCTTTCGTTTTCTTTTGTCGATCAATGGAAATTGAGTTTTCGTGTTGCATGCTCGCGCAGAGTCTTGCTTCGTTCTGATCCGCGTGACAAAACGTTTTTCCTCTCCGTCGAGCTAACTCATTCTCCGTAATCGATGCCATCTCTTCCGATCTAGCGAAGAGTCTTTCGGCGTTTTAATATCTTTCTAACAGCAACGATTATATCCGTGTTTATGTATTTATACTGCGGGATAAAATTAATTGTTCACCTTGTGTGATTGTTTACGCGTCCCAAAACCACCCGGTTAACAAATTGTAAGATTTTTTAATTATAAGATCGACACTTCTCCGAAAGGTTCCCTGTGAATTTCTCAGGCAATTCGTGTTAAGGCAGTTAGTATATTATCTTTTTTTTTGTTCCTTTTTTGTTTAGTGGCTTTTTTCAAGTTTTCTTTTCTTCTTTTCTCGCAGTGTTAATTGTTAATTCACGAATCGCAAAGTACACGGGAATACGATTAATAAGGGATCAGACAGAAATTCAACGAAAGATCCAGGAGGGTGAGAAAGAGAGATATATATATGTATATATAGAAAGAGAGAGAGAGAGAGAGAGAGAGAGAGAGAGAGAGAAACGAAACGTTTCGTCTTTTAACACCTTTGGTTATTCGTAACGTTAATATAATTATAAATTCGATTCCGAATTTGAACGTTCAAAAAAGCCGGAACACGCGAGAGCATGTAAAGACAATTAAAAAATAATCATAATAATGAAAAGTCACACGCTACATACTTTATATAATTTTTTATCAGTTTATATGTATATGTATAAGTGTGTATATATATATATATATGTATAATTTTACTTTGTTGTTTTCATCATCCACGTCTGGCAGATACACCCACAAAAGAAAAAGTTAAAGCAACATAAGATGAGAAATTAATACAAAGAAAAATTAATTACAAAACGAAATGTACACAAATGGATTAACGAGGAAACCTATGGTGGAGAAATTAAAAAGAAAGAGCGGGGGTTAGGGATGTGGATCAAGATGGCGGCAGGGGCTGTTATGAAAGGAGCAAGAGGGTGGAGATGATCGAAATATAACTAATTACTTGTTTTATACGCAAGCNTTTTTTAATATTGAAAGTTGTTGAAAAATCTATTGACAGGCTTCTGACAGTTAAGGAATTGAATAAAGATTTAGATTTTGATCATGTTCCTTCTTTAAGTCCACGTGAACTTTTTTCGACACTTAATATGCGGATTTTCTATATTGATTATAAACGCAATAATGAAATATTTAGCTAATTGGAACATGTTATTTTCAGCGATAATTACAACTTGCCGGGCGACCGCAGTGTAACGCTAATTACGATCAATCGGATTGTTGCTTGAGGCTTTCGAAATTCCGGAAGTGACGTAGAAACAAGGGGAACGACGCTAGTTTACTGCGGACAGAACAGCGGCGCTTTGGAATCGTGAAAGAAAGAATCAAGAGGCGCAGCACGTGCTAATCGTCGACTTTATATGAAGAAAGATGAATTCGATACATAGGAAAAGTCGGAGCCACTGTCGATGTTCTCGTCGCTTTCGTTTTCTTTTGTCGATCAATGGAAATTGAGTTTTCGTGTTGCATGCTCGCGCAGAGTCTTGCTTCGTTCTGATCCGCGTGACAAAACGTTTTTCCTCTCCGTCGAGCTAACTCATTCTCCGTAATCGATGCCATCTCTTCCGATCTAGCGAAGAGTCTTTCGGCGTTTTAATATCTTTCTAACAGCAACGATTATATCCGTGTTTATGTATTTATACTGCGGGATAAAATTAATTGTTCACCTTGTGTGATTGTTTACGCGTCCCAAAACCACCCGGTTAACAAATTGTAAGATTTTTTAATTATAAGATCGACACTTCTCCGAAAGGTTCCCTGTGAATTTCTCAGGCAATTCGTGTTAAGGCAGTTAGTATATTATCTTTTTTTTTGTTCCTTTTTTGTTTAGTGGCTTTTTTCAAGTTTTCTTTTCTTCTTTTCTCGCAGTGTTAATTGTTAATTCACGAATCGCAAAGTACACGGGAATACGATTAATAAGGGATCAGACAGAAATTCAACGAAAGATCCAGGAGGGTGAGAAAGAGAGATATATATATGTATATATAGAAAGAGAGAGAGAGAGAGAGAGAGAGAGAGAGAGAGAGAAACGAAACGTTTCGTCTTTTAACACCTTTGGTTATTCGTAACGTTAATATAATTATAAATTCGATTCCGAATTTGAACGTTCAAAAAAGCCGGAACACGCGAGAGCATGTAAAGACAATTAAAAAATAATCATAATAATGAAAAGTCACACGCTACATACTTTATATAATTTTTTATCAGTTTATATGTATATGTATAAGTGTGTATATATATATATATATGTATAATTTTACTTTGTTGTTTTCATCATCCACGTCTGGCAGATACACCCACAAAAGAAAAAGTTAAAGCAACATAAGATGAGAAATTAATACAAAGAAAAATTAATTACAAAACGAAATGTACACAAATGGATTAACGAGGAAACCTATGGTGGAGAAATTAAAAAGAAAGAGCGGGGGTTAGGGATGTGGATCAAGATGGCGGCAGGGGCTGTTATGAAAGGAGCAAGAGGGTGGAGATGATCGAAATATAACTAATTACTTGTTTTATACGCAAGCTGGTTCAATTTTCGATTCTACTCTCAATAGCATTGTTGGAGAATAATTCACGCAATGTACTTCCACCTACGTCACACGCACGCGTTCAATGCACATTTTTGTCCGTCACGTGCGAGATAATCTTTTCCTTCTTCCTCGTTAAAACGCGAATCGACAAATTAAATTGCCGAACAAAATAAAACAAACAATGATTCAGGTGAAGCCTCTTACACCGATAAAGAAAAAAAAACGAAACAAAACACACGTATAAATATATGGTTTAATCTCGCTTCGTACCGTAAAATGGAGCGATTAGATTTGTCACTTTTGGCGAAAAGAAAGAAACGAAAGACAATAAAATGCCGTGCGGTAATGAATCATTTTAAAAAAGGACACGAGCGCCTAATAAATATATTTCGTTCTTTTTTTAATTAAGTGCGTTTTGGGTTCTCGTTTAAAATATAATTTAAAGCTCAGCCTAATCCCTCCATTTTCCAACAACGATCGCTAGAGCAGCTGTAACATGCCAAGGGATGGCCCGCCAACCTAATTTCAAGTACACGGTGTTGGAGTAATTAATTCTGCAAGCATCGAGATTAATTTGACATTTAATCGCGACCGTCTCGATTACTTTTTCCATTCGATAACTGTACCGCGGGGTTTTATGCATTTATAGAATACATTAGTGCTTAAAGATCAACATATTTAAAAATATCATAAAATTCATCGAGGTTTCCAACTTATTCGGAAATGATCTCTGTAAAATAGTTCCTAAATGTCTACATTTGCATAAACTTCCGCAGGCTATCGAAGCGTCTAGGAATTTTTGTGTATACGTGTTTGTATGTATGAGTGTGTGTGGTGAATTTGTATCGCTGAAACGGCAAGACATTAAAAGTTCTTTCATGGTCGATCACTGACTTAATACGTTTCGTTCTATAGTCTAGATTTATCAACCCGTTAACCGCAAGAGACGAGACGAAGTCATTAGAATTGTGATTTTTAAACTCAGGATATTATGCATTTGTTTCGGTCTTAAGTAAATTCCTAACAGGAGAACTATTTAATTCGAATTTCCTACATCTTTGAACAAGTTCTCCATTTCTTACGTTTCTACTTGAACACTTTGAAATTAAAGTGCGTTTGTGATGTTTCTAGCAACATCAATTATTACAATTGTTAATTATTCATATGGTAGCTGGTTAACAGGTTGAATTGCAAACAGACCAACCCAGGTGACAAATAAAACCCTAATTTTATATAAAATACGTGTTCCGTATCCTAAAAGCAAACAAAACGAGAATACAGGATACGTTAGCTGCTAATAATTGTGTGTGTGTGAATAAAATACACAATAATCAATATAGAGGAAAAAAGATTAATTTCACCAGCTCTCTCGGATCCGGCGTTGTAAAAGCGTAGTGCGTACGACGGGCACGGTGCGTTTTCTAAGTTCCTTGAGTTCTGTGCATTCACAGGGCTCCCGGTGTGATTCGAGCAAGATGCGTATTTTGAGTATTCTTTCGCCTTGATCGAACGTCCGACTCTGTCCCAAAAATGTCGTCTATAACACGCAGTCACGAGTAAACCATGAAACTTTTAATATTCTTCATCCGCATTGCCGTGCTCTGCGACCCTTTTTCTTTTTTCTGCCAGTCTCTTATAATGTCCTAGATCAACGTGTGTGTCGTGACACAGGATACAACAGAAATTTTTCAATATGGAAGAACGTGGCAAGACTCGCTGAGGAGCGTGCACGCGGAGTTGTGTATGACTGCAAGAAGTGAGTTATGTACATTATTTGCATGTGTCGGCGAATCAGCCCTTGCCCTTGTTCCATGTCACAATAACGACAAAAAAGATGGCGAGATTAGAGAGTTTCATTTTGTTTGGAAAGTGATAAGATAGGGAGGGTGAGGAGGAGGGCATTCGAATAATTATTAATATATAATATTATAATAATAACAATAATGATGAGGTGTTCTAAACAGTGCTAGGACTAGTGCTAGAGGGTCCTGTGAGGAGTCAGGGTGGGTGGGTACGGGCTAAGGAGGGGTTAGTGTGGGGGCGGAGGTTCTGTAGACTGGTTTCTGCCATCTACAGCCCTAACTGGCTTCCTACGCGAAGAACCTGTTACTCCGACTGGACCGACTGAACTGACTGGACTGACTGGACTGACTCTAAGGTACGCTGGTGTCGGGGTCGCTATCGGGTCTCTGATAGTTCTACTAACTGGTGGCGGCAATGGTTGCTGCAGTACCTGTGCACAAACATTTCAAACATTAATTTACTAATAATCTGATTGTTTGTTAGTTCAGTAACATTCTATATAACTACAAGTTGTCTATCTTTCCAAATTAAATTGAAGTTCTTAACGTTTTCAGTTTGTACGAAGTAGATTCAACTTAATTCAAGGAATTCTAGGATTCTCCAGAAGAATATTACAAGACACTAAAATTTCGTGTACAGACTTACCAGTGGCTGAGGTAATACACTATGCATCAGTGTTTGAACCCTAGGCGGATTTTGTGTCGCGAGGTTATTCGAGTTTAGGGGCGGCAATCCTTGAGTCTGTACACCCGTTCCCACGCCATCAGCAGCAGCAGTCTGAACAGTATGCGATTGTTGCGTAGACGTTTGCGTTACGTTTTTACTCGTCGCTTGATCCCTTTTCGCCTCCTGAGATAAACTTAATTTTTTTGTAGAAACGGTCGAAGCGTTGGCGTTCGGTGTCTCTGGGCTGGTTGTGGCAGTAGTTGCGCTCGACACTGGCGTTTGCGCTGCGGACTGCTGCTGTATTAACTCCGGTAATGTTTGAGACAGAGTACTGACGATTAGTTCGCGCGTGAACAAGCTCCTGTTCGCGCTCTCGCGCTCAATGTTCTGCAGATGTAAGTCAGACAGAGTACTCGTAATGCATCTGTAAATATAAAAAGAAAATAAGTCGAACTTTTCAGTGCTATCCTATTAAACAAGGTAAACATATGTTTGTTGGTAGTTAAAAATAGCTATGCACAGCGTTTACTCTCAACGGGATATCTTAAAATATAGCTTTTGGCACCTAGTACAATGACCGTGATATGCATGTTTAGTGCTTTTCGACAAAGAACTAACATACATATATCTCGTGACAAAATATATAAATAAAAATGTCGTGTACTGGTTTCTTATTTGAGAAAACTATTATGTAAGGAAATGTATTAGCTGATCGAAACATTTGATTAACATACCTCGGTAATAGAAACATATAGTTCTGTGAATTGGTAGACAATACGCCGGACGGGTTGGCCACATTGGTTGCATTATTATTACTACTCGCACTATTTGCTACCACACTGGTCAAAGTAGTAGAAGGACCTCCACTGGTACCTCCTGCACCACTTACAGAACCAATAGCCTGTGGCTGCCTCCTAGGTAACCGTTCCAATTGTTGTCTAGTAGTCTAGAAATATGTGTTCTATTATTTATTCTGCATACCCTAGTCGAGTAAGACTCCTGATTCTAAATATCACTGTATACATACTCTAAATTGTTGGCGCTCCATTTGTAGCTGCATTTGCAAGTGTTGTAATTGCGAAGGTGTTGATGGACTCTGACCAGTTGCTGTACCTCTACGAACACCGGATAATTGAGAGAGTAACTCAGTAATCGGATCTATACCATCTCGACTACTCGGACTCAATCCCCCGGACGAACTGAAATGCATGGACCTGCAGGTCCAATGACACACTAATGAACATTATCTAAGATGAGATGACAATGAGGAACTGTTCCTTAAGTTTTATTTCGTGACCTTTAATATTTGGCGGCAATGTATGCGAAGGTTTAATAATGAGTACCTAATGAGTTGATACGTTAAATCATTACAATACAAACAAGAAACAATAGACCAACTACAACATGCATTCGAAGTAGACATACAATGCACTGATGCATTCAAGTTACTCAACATACATATTAGAATTGCTTCATATTGTCCGAATGATTAACTCCAAAATTGTTGTATTTTGGTTGAAACATACGGCAATCTTTTTCAGATTATACTGCAATGTTTGCTACACACGTTCGCCGATATACATACCTGCGAGGTCGTGGCCCACCCAATACTCTAGATTGATGCAGTTGTACCCGTCTACCGCTGTGTCTAGTTGAAGATGGTTCATCTAGAAAAGAGATCAGGTCCCTTGGTCCACTACGATGCTCCAAACTTAAATGTGCCGCGAAATCATCAGTCACGCTATTAGGATCTCCTCCTGGAGTGGATGCACATAAAGGACATACCTAGAACAAATTTGCATATTCAGACATTGTTTTCTATTGCAAAATGTACTTGCACAGTGTTCTATTGCATATACCAAATCTTTCATTTGGTTTAATTCTCACATATTTGAGTTTCTCATAAATTAAGAGCTGCGTTACATACCACTTCAAAAGAGGTGTCTGGATGATCAGCAGTAACATGTTCTTGCAAGGTAGCCTCGGTGAAACCCATTCTTGTACAATAGGGACAAGTTAAGGACTGTGGCTGCTCTATACTCACTCCCTCTCCACCATAATATAATTCTAACAAATAACAAATACGAATATTAATTACTACAATACCATGATAAATGAAAACAGGGAATTTATAAACTTTCTTACCAAAATCAGATCTAGTAAGTATACATTGCATTGGATGATCAGTGAGATGACGTGTACTGCTGGCACCTCCTTCGTAACAGCTAGCACATAAGTCATAGTCGAAGCACACTAGGCACTTGTACCTGCGTCCCCGAAAATGACCCTTTAAGCAAGAGTCACAGCTTACCCCTGAAATGAATATGGATTTTCAACAAAGGTGAAAATGAAATCATGATTTCCGCGAGTCTCGAAACAGAACAAACATAAACACTGTTGTTCCTGCTAAAGATATTTATATATATCTTATGCACATGTATGTGTGCAGCAACCTTGAACCAAATCTATAAAAAGTAACTTGCTTCAGTCTACTTTTAAATCTGAATACAAGTGCATACAATTCTTAAAACTAAGATTGATCTACATTTTTATAGTGGTACATGGACTTTTTATGAATATTAATGGTTAATCACTTGTAAATATTAAAGATCATTTCAAGCAAATGATACAATATTATATTTAATTGATGAGATATAAGAAATGTATAATTTCTTACAATTAATTATATCTATAGCGATTAACCATTGTTTGTGGCATTGTAAGCACTATTTGTACTTATATATAGAATAACATCACTTATAGCATTAGTTCTTTAGTTTGTATATTTATTTTATTTATCTGTTCCATTACTAAAGATGTAGAATAGATCTAGTAAAATAATATAAATATAAATGTAGCCTATGCAAATAATTTATAATCTATAGGCAGACAACAGATCAGAAGGTTTTCTTATAATCTGAATGCAAAGATTCAGATATCGATAATGCTTTTACGCTTTAACGCAATATTTGTAATTTTAATTATGTAACATGCAAGGATACAATGTAATAGAAAAAACAATGTGTATTAACTTTGTCTGTACAAGTAGCCCAATTTTAACTTTAGAATTGCACCATTTCAACTTAAAAAATCAAGTGTATAGTACCGTAAATACCAAAATTATAATCTTTTAGGTAAATAAACAATGTTTCATTCTTTAAGGAACAGAAATTCCAAATTGAAAGAAGGCAAATCAGAAGGCAAGCTGAAAAGTGAGAAACAACAGGAACATGTTTCAATATGTTTTACAAGTCTAACATTATGAGAAAGGGAAGGGGATTGAAGAAGAAAACTAATTCCAAAGTGTAGTCAGCTGGTAGAGCGTTCTGACAGCCGGCCAAAATGAATTTTTTCACGAAGTTTTTTTGTCTGCAAGGACAAAGCATCGAGAAGGAATGACATTGCAAAAAAATTGACCGAAATCATCAAAGAAGAACATTACAAATCTACAGAAATTGGAGTAATTTTTTAATAAGTGCTGCCATCTGGCCTCTGACATTAGACCCTTTGATACAGGGCTCGTGAGAGAAATGTCTGTTGCGAAAAATCTCATGTGTCGCAAATCTCGTAACCTCGACGACGATTCTGCACGAATTGTCCATGTATGAATTCAAATCACCGTTGATTCAACGAATTTACCATCAATAGGAAAGAAATTAGCGAACGGGGGAATTCGAGGCTGACTTGCCTGGCCAGGGAACAGCGCACACGTACGTACCTTCATGTCGATTCATTTTCCGTTTAAAATCTCATATACGCCGATAGCGCGAGGTCTCGCGATCGAACGGTTCACGAGATACGATTGCCTGCTCGCCACTGCGTTCACTCTTCACACGTTTTGCTTAGCGCAGCGGACACGATGGGAAAAACATGAATCGTCGAACAAAAAATTTCTCGTTAGAATTTCCAGCGTAAACCTAACCCAACTAGGCTACCGTGACGTCACGCTAGACCTACGCTCCCGGAGAACGTTGCGGGCAGGGTCTCTGTCGTTGCGACGTTGCCACTCTTCAGAACGAACCTGCGCGGAAAATTCAAACGTTATTTGGTACAAACAATTTCTTTAGAACAATATCATTGAAAATTTCCATTATTTCGAATATATTAATAAATATGTATCAATACTAAAATTATATCTTGTGCACAGCGCTAAATAAACCGTGGAAAGAATTTTCTTTGCTACTTCACAAAGAACAAAAATAAATTCAAATATTATTGGACATAATCGTTTGTTTACATCGGTGTTATTCAAAATTGTCGTTATTATCAAAATATTAATGCTTGTATTTCAAACACTGTTTGAAAATCATAGAAATCATTTCCTTTACTAATTTTACAAGAACGCACACACGTGCAAAATTAAGATGTATTGGTTATAGTCGTTTGTTCATAGCAATATTTATTAAAAAATTATAATATTGGAAAGATTATATTTCCTATACAAAAAACAATCAACAGAAAATATTTTTTTGTCAATTTTGAGAGGAGATACTAGATAGTGTATTATCTGTAAAATTTAAATGCCCTAGCATTCTCTTTCATAGCCAACAGACAATACTTTACTGATTACTAATAGAATATAAAGTTGAGCTGCGTTCGTTACAGAATAATATTATTTAATACAAACTTAAGTGTTTATGTTCATAAGTATTTGTGCTTAAATATATTTCGAACATTGTATGTATTGCAACAAGTTCGATGCTTTTTCTAGTGATACGATATTAAGCATTCGACTGACGATCTATAATCATAGTTAATGTTGAGATCTGGCAATCTGGCACTCCTTTCACGAACTTTTCCGAGAGTTTCTCGTATGACTTCGTACTCTTCCGTATAAATTCGCGCAAACACCCGAAACCTATTTCGCGAACTTGTTTCTCATTTATTGAACAAATGGCGAAGACATTGGGACGCGTCCTTGTATACGGTGGTAAAGGAGCCTTAGGCTCTGTTTGTGTTTCGACATTTAAATCAAATAATTGGGTAAGTTAAGAATCTGCACGAAATCCTTTATTAGAACTAAAAAGACTCAACATCTGTTACACTATAATTAAGTCGGCTTTCCTGGTAATGAAAGTTCCGGCTTTTCCGTGTAATTTCAAAGAATATTAACTTTATAAATACTGACGACCAACTTTATTCATATAAGAATGATTCTAAAACAAATATCACAAACCATGATAAATAATTAATTCGTTAATAACGAATAATCATTGTTTTCAAATGTATTCTTCTGAGCAAATAGATTTCATTGCGCAAGATTTATCTGAAATGATATGTACAATTTTTTTTAACTGCACAGAATTTTCTGTTATCTTTTTTTGTAAAGTTTATTTCGTGTTTCTTCAAAACTATGTCTGATATTTTTTTAATTGTTGTTTAGGAGTTGTTTTTTTCGTGCAATATTTTGAATGTTGTGTTTAAACTATAATGTAGTATCCTTACTAATTATTTTTTTAATACAAATATTACGATTTATTGTACTTGTTAAATAATTTTTATCTGTGTAGGAAAATTTCGTCAAGGTCATATCTGGAGAACTAGATCCTTTCACATTATATCATGAAACCTTGTAATTATACAGTCATTATGCAAAGACTTTATTGCTGACAACGATATTTTCTATGTTGTAAAAAAATTATAAACAATATTGTAACAGGTTATTTTTCATACTTGCAGTGGGTTGGATCCATTGATATGAAAGAAAATGACCATGCTGATGCAAACATAATTGCGAAACCTAATAACTCCTGGCAGGAACAGGTAATTGCATACATTTTTATATAAAGAGACTACAAATTCATACTATATATACATAAATGTAAATTTTTAGGAAACTGATATTCTCCAGCAAGTTGCAAGTATCTTAAATGGAAACAAAGTAGATGGTGTGATTTGTGTAGCTGGTGGATGGGCTGGTGGAAATGCTAGCCATAAAGATTATGTAAAAAATAGTGATCTTATGTGGAAGCAAAGTGTATGGAGCTCAGTCATTGCTAGTAGTATTGCTGCTCTTCATTTAAAGGAGGGAGGTTTTCTTGCACTAACCGGAGCTAAAGCTGCATTGGAAGGAACATCAGGTAAATAATTTTCTGAAAATATTTGAAAATGTAAAATATTTATTTTATATCATTTCATATAATTAGGAATGATTGGTTATGGACTGGCCAAAGGGGCTGTTCACCAATTGACCAAGTCTTTGGCATCCAAAGGAAGTGGTCTGCCAAAGGATTCTCTGGTTGCTGCTATTTTACCTGTAACTTTGGATACACCCATGAACAGAAAGTGGATGTCCAATGCGGATACCTCTTCTTGGACTCCTCTAGAATTTGTGGCAGAGTATGCAATACAATAATTATTTTCTATCTGTACTTATAACTTATTAATATTGTTGTTTTATTTGATAGTCTATTTTGGAAATGGTCACAAGGACAAGACCGCCCTGCTAATGGCAGTCTTCTGCAACTGATCACTCACGATAACAAAACAGAATTGATTTCAGTGTAAAAGGGAAAACTAAGATACATACGGGAACAAGAATTTATTCCATGTAAATATATATACCTAATACAAACGGTTTGTATTTGGTATTCAAGCCCATTATGTTTGTAACTTTTGTGATTTACGATATAAGCATTTAAAAATGTTATTACTGTAAATATACAAAAATAGTTTCATCTTCATTCCAATAGAAGTGNGTCCAATGCGGATACCTCTTCTTGGACTCCTCTAGAATTTGTGGCAGAGTATGCAATACAATAATTATTTTCTATCTGTACTTATAACTTATTAATATTGTTGTTTTATTTGATAGTCTATTTTGGAAATGGTCACAAGGACAAGACCGCCCTGCTAATGGCAGTCTTCTGCAACTGATCACTCACGATAACAAAACAGAATTGATTTCAGTGTAAAAGGGAAAACTAAGATACATACGGGAACAAGAATTTATTCCATGACAATATATATACCTAATACAAACGGTTTGTATTTGGTATTCAAGCCCATTATGTTTGTAACTTTTGTGATTTACGATATAAGCATTTAAAAATGTTATTACTGTAAATATACAAAAATAGTTTCATCTTCATTCCAATAGAAGTGCAACAATGAAAGTACCTAATCTAAAGATATTATTTAAAAAAAAACGTTGTGATACGTTATACGATTTTCTATGTTTATTTTTATATGAATGTAGTATATTTTTTATAGTGACTATTACTAATTGATTAAAGATATAGAATTTTCTGGCAACTATTATGTTATGCATATGAAATGACGAGATGTTAAAGATTATACAATAACATACAAAGATACATATAACAAATTATACAATACTATAAAGAATACATTGGAAAGCTATAATTCGATGTAGTTTTCATTGTTATGAATTTGTGCACACCCANCAATTTAAAAATTTGTTTTCGATGGAATGTAATTGAAAATTTTGCCAATATATACAACACTGACATATTATTATATAATATAAATACTATTATAAGACGAAATTTCGTTTGTTCTACTATTAGAAAATAAATGTACAAATAGCCACCTTGCACCAGCCGAGCTGACCTCTCATTGGTCAGTGTTTTTCGTTAATAACTCGTAAACAAAGCCGCGGATTGCATTTTCGCTAAGAAAAAAGTTACTTCAAATAATCTCAGTAATCCCTCGTTTCCTGGAAGTACCATAATTTTGGAACACCCTGTATAATAAGGCTCGTAATATATATAGGTTAATTTTTTTTTCTATGTTTATTTTTATACCACCCAAAAGCAATATGTACTTACAAGTACCAAAATAAACATTGTTCTTAAAAAAAAGTAGAACATTAGACTTTTAATCTAAGAGTCCAGGGTTCGAGTTCCTGTTTGGGCAGTTTTTTTCTAATTTTGGAAAATGGAAGAAATTTTTTAATGTGTTTTAATAATACGATGACTCCATCAACAAGCTGCAATAAAAATTTATTAATAAAGTATGAATGCGAATATTGAAAAATCTAAGTTTTAGAGTAATACACTGCACATTAATTTATTTCATAAATAATACAATAGAAAGTTTGAGTCATGCCTATTGCAGATTCTGGATACAAATATACACATAATGGCCTCATTTGATAAATTTATTAACAAGAAACATGTATACTAATGATAAAATTACGATGATATATATTATAGCTTTCCTTTGACGAGATCATCCAACATTTTTTGTTCAGCTGAAACAGAAAAATATACAATTACAATTTAATATAGGAATAGTAGAAGCTGGTGATTTTTTTAGCTATGCATAACTTCAAAATATCATAACAGTAATTTCAATTAATCATTAATTGATCTATATTCTTTACCTGCCAAGGCAATTTTCCTTTCTGCTGCAAGTTTTGCATCTCGCATGGGCTTTTCAGCCAATTCTTTTTCACGACGCAAATTTTCTCTTTTACTGAGGCGTCTTTGATGGTAAGCCCCATAAATAATACCAAGTGATAGAAAACTCCATCGGCTGAACTGCATGAAATACAATAATTACAATCATTATTCATGTTAAATATTAAGAATGCAACTGTTCAATGTTCTGTCAGTAGTAAAGTTTAAAAGGTAACAGTGAAATTCATTAATGATTTAAGTTCTATTAACAGACCACACAGAAAGAACATATTATTTAAATTTATATTTAATTTCGTGAAGTTGAAGATGTTGTCAAAATCCAGTAAAAATTATGTAATACAATCAACTTGAATAACTGAAAAGGATAATCGTTCGAATAACAAAAGAACGTCTGAAAGAATTATTGTCTTTATAATTTAGAATCACTTTACTAATGTTTGATTATCGTTTGTTTTTTTTATATAATTTGAGTGAAACAGGTGACGGTACTTACTTTAATAAGAGGAGATATCCGGACAGGTTTTGGACCAGCTTCGATGGCCGACATTTTGCTACTGCATTAAGTATAGAAAGTCTTATCTACCATTTATAGATTCGTATATACAAGTACAAAATACAAACATTCGTTTGTAAGCCTACCTTAAAATTATAATGTAAGAAATTAATCTTTTATTTCTCTTTTTCCTACAAATAAATAATAACATATGATTTAAACGTAAAATGTAATTCGTCTGAAATCATAAGTGAAATTCTTTGTTAGCTATATGTCAATATTTAATAACGTACAATGCATTTTTAAAAATGCAAAAAAATGTATTGTTTGTAATAAAATCTTCTAGTCAGTGTAATATACAATATCTAATTTGTTAATATTATTGCATACACGTGTTGGAAATATCATGTGGCGTCATCTGTGATAGAAAATCCAAGCTATTGACCAATCAGTATTGTGATCCAGCTACCACAACGGATTTACAGTACATATCTCAAAGTCTCGCATTCTCTGGGTTGCAGCATGCTAAACAGTCGAAGATAGAGACAGAAATTGCTTTACTCTGCTAAAGTAGCTATCTCTGATAATGCATAAAACGTTCTGTATGACCTACCAAAAAATTGTTCTTTTCATCGAACCAATTGCTCCACCTTCCACGGTTGACAATTTTATTAATAAGCAATGAATTTTGAATAAACAAATATATAACAAACTAGGAGCACATGCCTTTCATAGCTGCCAAACATCAATTGGCATAAATGCTCAAAAAATTGCTCTAATTCAATGTGCGACAGCTTAATCCAGGACTCGGAATAAAGCTGACTCCCGTTACGATAATTTCGGATCAACAATAAAGTTTTTGATTTAATTGTCTAAATTTTATTAAAATATGGAAAAACGTGATTTTCGTGGACGTTTACACGTGCTAGGTATATGATTAACATCCACGTTTAACTGTGGATTACCTAATATTTATGCCTCGAAATTTTTTCTTTATTTCAAATTGTGTTAGTTAATTTTGTTCCAACATTAGACGGTAAAACAAACAAGACAAGAGGGTACTAGAAGATTTCATTAAGAAAAGAAATTCTTATAATCATTAAACAACTAGAAACAATAAATTTATCAATAGAATATATCCGATATAATGATTCTTCGACACATTTGTGGTTTTAAAATCACTGTGTATGTTTGACGTAAATAATTATTTCCGTTACGAAATGAACGACGAAATAGCCACGGGAGTATTTAATAATATCATTGTGGCAAAACGAATTTATCGTAATACGAATAATCGTAAATATTAAATCTCGAATTCTGTTAGCTATCTTTGTTTAACTTTTTTTTAACTTTGTTTTACTTTTACGAGAGAGTATTAGATGGCGTCATTAACAAAAGAAATTTTTATAATTATATTAAACAGCTGGAGATAATAAATGTATTAATAGAATATTTTCGATGTAACGATTCTTCGATAAATTCGTGCTTTGAAAATCACTTTGTATGTTTGACGTTATTAATTACTTTTGTTACGAAATAATACGACGAAATAGCCACGATAGCATTTAATGATATCATTGGTAAGAAGAGTTCTCGTAAATTTTAAACATCGAAAAGCAATCGATTTATCAACGGAACTCGTCTACCGTAACAATTTCTCGAAACATTCGTGCTCGAAATATTACTGCATATGTCTGATTCTATCGGTTATTTTCACTAACAAATGAAATGACAAAATAGCCAGTGAGGTGCTTGACCATACTGCTGGCAAACAGAATTATTGTAAATATTAAATAAATATTAATTAACGAAAGCAATTCGATATAATAACTTAAACAATTCGATCGATTTGTGCAAGTCTCTTGTTAATTGAACCTCGTTGGTACTTTTCATGAACAAATTAAGCGATGAAATAATTTCTCGGGCACTGGATAGCATTATTGCAAAATAAATTATTGTGAATATTAAATAATTGGAAATAATCAAAATTATTGAAATTATTGATCGCCGTCGATCGCGCGATCGTCGATCATCAAAATCAGCGGAGGGGGTACCCTTCGTGCTCGCTTGGCTCAAAGTCGTTGTTCAATTAGTCGGAACTTGACTAATGGAGGAACCAGTTGCATTCCAAGTAAGCTCTTCCAAAAGTGAAATTATAATAAATTAAATCGTTAAGAATTAAGATATAATATAATTTTGAAGGAAAATTAGAGTGCGTGAAGTTGTAATATATTAAATTTTTAAGAATTAATATATAATATAAGTTTAAAGGAAACTTAGTGCGTAAAATTATAATAAATTAAGTTGTTAAGAATTAAGATGTAATATAATTTTAAGGAAACTTAATGCGTGAAATTGTAATAAATTAAATTGTTAAGAATTATGATGTAATATAATTTTAAAGGAAACTTAGTGCGTGAAATTAATCGCGTTTCAGGAAAGCTCTTCTAAAAGTGTTATTATAATAAATTAGATTGTTAAGAATTAAGATATAATATAATTTTAAAGGAAACTTAGTGCGTGAAATTATAATAAATTAAATTGTTAAGAATTAAAATGTAATATAATTTTAAAGGAAAATAAAACTTTAATAACTCATCGACCGATTTGTGCAAGTCTCTTGTTAATTAAACCTCGTTGGTACTTTTCATAAACAATTTAAGCGATTAAATAATTTTTCGGGCACCGGATAGCATTATTGCAAAATAAATTATCGCGAATATTAAATAATTGGAAATGATCGAAATTATCGATCGCCTTTGATCGTCAAAGATAAGGTTAAATTTCTTTGTCTTTTGTTAAATCCGTTTGTCCTTTGTTTGCTTGCTCGGCTCAAAGTCATTGCTCGATTAGTCGTTACTTGTTTAGTGGAAGAATCAGTTGCATTTGAGGAAAGCTCTTGCAAAAGTGATATTATTATAAATTAAATTGTTAAGAATAAAGATATAATATAATTTTCAAGGAAAATTATTGCGTTAAATTACTTAATTAATTGTTGGAACAACTACTATAACAGAATATAACAGAAAGTGTACAAAATCATAAGTAAATTGGATTTTTTAATAGAAATTCGCTCTGCTTCCTTCTAAAATCGAAGTTAATTAATTTTCTATTTAATTCGAATCTAAATTTACTTAACATTCGGTAAAATTTTTTATTATTAACAGTTATTTGGCAAAATCATATCTCTAATTTCAATGTGATTTTCCAAGTGGTTTCCAATAATTTCTAAATCTTTTCCAAATGGAAATTAATATTTTCGATTAAAATCTGAAATGTGTGTTCCTCTCTCCTACTGCTGTCTTTGCTGCTGCTATTGCTACTCCGCTCCTACTTTCGTTTAGTTCTTCCTACCACAAATTCCAGAACCAACATCACATCAAATGTGAGTCGCATGCTCTTATTTTACCAGTAGTTTTCTCAATTTTTCTCGAGTACAGTGACCACATACTTATTGCGAATTCTATCGCATATCTAGTTAGGATGTTTTCTTTTCGATGATTTGCGTTTTCCGTTTGAATTTAATTATCGAGTAATTAAATTCGCACGCATTCGTCGAAACAAATTGATTTTGAAGAATCATTCGAAAGTAATAACCCCATTTTAGCTAGGATTTTCAGGTCCTTTATTTTCAGATTCTTTATTTTCAGGTTAATACTATCGTAAGACAAAAATTATTGTGTATATTATCATGTATATTATTATGTGTATGTATTGTTAACTGGTCACTGTACTCGCTGCAGTAGTAATAGTAGTAGTAGTAGTAGTAGTAGTAGTAGTAGTATTTGGGCTGGTTTTGCCACCCCAACGATCAGCGCAGATGGGCACATCCGCGACTTGCAATAGCGTTGCGAAATAATCTCGCGTTGTTTAGCTTTATTTTCAACAGAGATGAAAATCAGCGTAGCGAATAAAGCCATCGCGATTATCATTATCATTGAAATCAATTATTCAAAGTATATCGTCGCGATTGAAATAATCGCGATTTCATTTGGTTTGACATGCAAGAAGCGTCAAAGATATCGTTGCGAATAAATACTCGAAGATCATCAAAGTCCACTCGCTTTTGCATGTCTGTTCATTAGCGTCGCGACGACATAATCGCGTTGCTATAGTTTATATACCGACTTTTCAGGCGCCCATGCTGCAACTGCAACAACAGCTCGGATGGACACATCCGCGACTTGCCATAGCATTGCGAATTGATCGCGCTATATGATTAATCATATTAATCATCAATATATAATTGATCATGCTATAATTAATTTTGAACAGAAATCGTAGCGTTGCGAATAAAATAGACGCGATTTTTCGTCGAATTATCAAGCACAATAGCTTCGAATATAGCGTTGCGAACTGATCGCGTTTCAATTATGCAATTGTTTAAGATTTTTCAAAGTCTACACAGACTCGTTCTTTCTACAAAGTAAAGTAAAATCTTTCGGATTTCTGTTCGTTGCATTAGCGTAGCGTCGAAATAGTCGCGTTGCCTGTAGCTTCGTTCGACTTTTCAGGCGCCCATTCCGCGGCTGCAACAATGGACCCAGATCTCAACGATCAGCTCGGTTGGGCACATCGCGATTTTTGCATCCCAGCGTTGCGAAACGAATTATCGCGGTTTGTCTTCGAATTAGTATCGAAGTTAGCGTTGCGAGAATAATCGTGTTGCAGTAGCTTCGTTCGTCTTTCAGAGCCCATACCGCAGCTGCAACCCTCCGCAGTGCAGGCATTCGCGATTTTCCTTAGAGTTGCGAGACGAAATTAACAACGCATTGTGTTAGCGTCGCGAAAAATTGCCAATGCGTTGTGTTAGAGCTGCGAAAATTGCCAACGCGTCGTGTTAGAGTCGCGAAATAAATGCCGCACTGCGAGTAGCCGTTCCAAGGATCGCAGCATTGTCTCGCAATCGTCGACGATTCCCTTTAGAGTTGCGTGAAAACAAATCAAAGTGTGTCTCTTAGTTAATAACGGCGTGCGTCTCTTAGATAATTGTTGAAATTGGAATTCCTCCGATCGGAGGTCCCTCAGGGGCTCGCTTGCAGGAGGGGCCTGTAAGTGAGTACGGGGGGTAGCGTCCCCGAGGTACCCGAGGCGCTAGTAGGTTGCTAGGATTCTTAATTTATGGTTGCTGAATTTCGTTTTCTCCATATTCCCAAAATTTGCACTCGTGTGCGGGTTAGCTTGGCACTCGTGTGCTGGTCTTAGGTTTCCTATTTTGACTTGTCACCTATTTTGTATTCATACTAACTAGAATTCAATCTTTTCAGGTTCATTACAGATATTATCATCCGCCGTGGGATGCGTCTTAGTTTCTATAACTTTCGCAAAAATTGCACTCGTGTGCTGGTCAGCTTGGCACTCGTGTGCTGGTCTTAGGTTTCCTATTTCGACTTGACACCTATTTTGTATTCATACTAACTAGAATTCAATCTTTGCAGGTTCATTACAGATATTATCATCCGCCGTGGGATTATCATCCGCCGAGGGATGCGTCTTAGTTAATAAGTGCGTGCGAGTTAGTTAATAAGTTTGTGTGACTTAGTTTAAGATTCTTAACCTCTTGCCTTACTTTAACGGGTCTAGCTTTTAATAAAGATTTTTCTTAAGAATGAATATTATTTTATTCCTTCAAGTCCGTCCAAATTTCTCTTCTTTTCACTACAATATTTGCTCGTTTAAAGAAATGTATCTCACAATAAACTCAAATTTTCTTCTCCTTCTGAGAAATAATTACAATCGGGAAATTTCTAGTCATCATAAATTTAAAGAGAATGGTACGGCAAGGGATTAAGTTCCCTCAGGAGCCTCCGATCCACGTGAGCGCCCGTGGAGGGCACGGGGGGTAGCGTCCTAGAGTCGTGGACCCGAGTCGCTAATTTCGCATATGTCGAGTATTATTGCCTTAGCTTTATCTTTTCGCGTCTCGTCTTTGACTCCGCCACAGCAGAAAGCTGTGGTGGCCTTGCTTGCGCAAACTCTTGGGTAAGTCCGAACACTTCTCGATGTTCGGCTAGTGATCATGCGGCGTGGTGATTCGGACGCGGAATCCACCCTTTTTGGGAAGACTCTTCCCTGGTCGCTGTTCGGCCAGTAATCCGTCCTTAGCTCTCTTTTGGGAGCGGGGCGTTGGGCGAGAAAAGGTCACACAGGTTTACCTGTGTAGGCTCCCGCCTAGTGCCGATTCAGACGGGTAAGGCGGCCTAACTTAGTTTTAGGTCGCAGGGCGAGAAATAGCCAAGGATCCAACTTTGGATCATCACTCCTCATGTGATCGCGCCGGACATCGAGATCTGCGAAGCTCCGAATTTGTGCGAGCATTGTACGCGTCGCGTCACCCTCGAGTCAGTGCCTTCTGCCCTGACTCGCATTTGTTTCTCACTTTGAAAGAATCACTGCCTTCTGCACTGATTCATTTTGGTCCCCGTGGATCAGAGACTTCTTCTTTGATCCACTTTGGTCCGCAATAGAACTTGACATATGCGAACGAGTGAGTGTGTGTGAATGTGTGATAGCTAGCTAGCGAGCGTATTAGTTTATAAGTCGTCGTTGTTAGAAAGGGAGCCATAGCGAATTCCGGCTTCGTTCTGACTCCCTTTCGGGTCTCTAAAGCAGCAACCTCCTCGCGGTGAGACCCGGGCAATTGGTATCATCCTGGACTCAGAAAATGTTACCAATTGCAATGAATTTCTGGGTCGAGAATGATACCGAGCTAATAGCTGCAAATTTTGAATTTTTGTTAATATTGTAAAGTAGAGAATAAAGCTTTAACGTGTATAAAGTGTGACGATTTATATCTATTCGAACGTACGGTTATACGTACTGTATCGTATCAATGCAGGAGAAATGTATCGGCATCGGTTCGGTCATCCGAGAGTCCTGCGAAAAATATTTTGTCATATTTTTGTATGTTATCTTGAACATCTTGAAAAAAATGTAGTTTTCGTTTTTTTTTTGCTTTTATTATAAGTTGTGTTCAAAATTCGTTCACATATGTAAAGTCATAAATCCAATAAAGATCATACAAAATTGTGTCACAAAAACTGTCAATATAAATATGTTTCGTAAAAAAAAAAGAAAAACATGGTCAGTTTAACAAATTCAAGTAAATTAGAAATCTGAAATTATTTTCTAAAGGACGGGTTAGTATGTGTTCGATTGAATGATATATATGGTGCGGAATATTCCTTCTATTACTTTCAGTCCGTGTTCAGAAATATTTTTCAGTTATTTGAAGACTTGTGGATATTTAAATATTATTTTCCTTCCTTGAAAATTGGTAAATTACTTGAAATTATCTGATAAAACAGTTAAAATTCTTTCAAATCGACATGTTTCCTGAATCGAAAAGATTTTTTTGAATATTTCGTTTCCTTTTGATTAATCTCTTTAAGCATTCATTGTCGTTCTCTTTCAGCTGCCACCGAATTGCTAAACTGTCCAATTTTCTAATTATTCCTTCATAATTTATCCAGTCGTTGAAAATTCAGTTTTGTTGGTTTCCATTGTTTGATCTATTATTTCGTGGCATGGAAGACGGTGCTGGAATAATTTCATCGACTACTAAATTCTCGCGATTCTGTTGTGCCTGATCCTGTTGATGTTGCTGCTGATTACGAGGCACTTCTAATGCCAATAATTTCTGTCGTTTTTCTTCCATCAAGCGTTCACGATGCTTGTGAATGTAATCATTCACATTTGGTAGCCCAACGATTACGCAAGCTGAAAGTCCCGAACGATATATGTTCATGTCTGTTGCTTCGTACCTGCGGAAAATATACGTATAATCGAACAATAAACTCGTTACTGTAAGTGATGAACACGATTTTGATCTGACACAAATTTTTATTTACGATATGTTTTGGATAACTCTTATAGAGTTATTCTTATTCTCGAAAATCTAAATTTGAATGCCGAATTGCTACATCATCTGCATATTTCGTAAAGATAGATCGTTTTTCAAAGAATAGAGCATTGTGAAAAAATTAGAGAGGAAAGTAAAAAAGTATTTTCGAGGCTCGAAAAAAAGAGGTGAGTTTTATTTATTGTTTAATGCTGTTGTATATTGTACAGGGTGCTCAATGAGTGTCTAGCACAGGGCTCGGAATTATCGGCACACAACATGAGGATCGCTAGGGCTACGCCTCCTGACACTCGTCGTGCGTCTCGCTCATCCGTGATCGCCACAAAATGCTGTACGCCCACACATAAAACAACAGACACACGCGCCTGATGTACTTCGAGCCGAAAGAGGCGACCATGGATGGGCGAGACGTGCGACGGGAGTCTCCTGAGACGTAGTCCTCGCGATTCTTATGTTGCGCGCCGTTAACTCCGTGGCCAAGATGGAATTTTACCATTCGTTCGTTTTTTCATCGTAACATTCGACGTGATAGATAGTGGTAACGCTGTTGTATCCTCCTATCGCAAAAATCATGTCGTCGATCACTTCGATCGCAAAATTACTGCGGGCGTGATACATATCCGGAATCGAGCTCCAAATATTCGTGGATGTGTTGTATTTCTCTCCACTGGACATTCTAGATATTCCGTTAAAACCTCCTGCGGAAAGTACTCATTAAAGTATATAACATTTTCCCGGTCAATATTAGTCACTAGACTGCGGATTTTATGGATATGTCGCGGAAATGATCAAGTCAACAATAAAACTGTAAAGACATCAGAAGAAAATTCTTCTTTAGAAGGACATTTTAGAAGTATATTCTTACATTATTTCCTGCTTACTTATTACAATTATTAAAATGACATTCCTTACAATTAACTTCGACAATTTTTAGCTTGTATAAAAGCCGTAGTCTACTAATCATTTGGTCATTCGCTAAACATTGTTATTTGAGCTTGTACCGATTACGTATACGCAGTTATGATAAGAAATACAAGAAACTCCGCTCCTGCGCGATCTCATCGAAGCTATCAACGTCCATTGATTGCACTCTGGGTCGTACATTTCAGCAGAATTTAAACACTCGTTTCCATTGAAGCCACCGGTAATGTAAATTTTATCTATATCGCAAAATAAGAATGACAAACGTGTCGCAGTTGCACGAATGGAATATTCTATTTTGCAGAGAGAATTCAAGAATATTTTCATTTCTTATCGAAACATGTACGTAAATATAAATAAATATGCGAATATAAAAAAAGAACGATGGCACAGATACGATTACAATTGATGATAAAGAAAATGGATAAGAAAACATACCGTTTAAAGTAGTTGCACTCGCATCTGATCTATGGCAATTCATGGGTGCTATTAAAGACCATTGATTAGTCTTGTAATTATATCTTTCCGCGGTATTTTGTCGATAATACCCATCGTATCCTCCCATCGCATAAATAAGATCGTTGTGAACAGCAACGCTAACGTAACATCTAAAATTAGGGGAGTTTCCTTGTTAGCATATTACACTGACTTATTACACACTCTGTTACACACTACCCTGCAAAAGTATCCGGACGATTATACATATATTTACGAATTTTTCAAGAATTATACAGGAAACTACTTTGTCTCTTGCTTTATTATCTATTCTGGTAGAACTATGAGATATAATCTTTTTTACGTACAGTATTCACGGAGGCAAGTATTTAATAATGAAAACTTCGACTAGACATCATGGAGTCAGAATGTTGACGAAGGATTCAAACAAATTCGGAGAGAAATATTGCAAAAGAACTTGTCGTTCATACGATAAGAAATAGTTTAATTAATATTAATTTTACGAAATCACTGGTTTGCTATATGTTCGAATACTTATGAATGGTAGCGTGCGTGTAATAGACCTTCGGGCGTTCATCGGAGCGACTTCCCTCCATACTTTGGTGGCAGCGTTAAAGCAACGACAACTATTAAAATAGTTGGTCCCGTCGAAGCCACCGATCACATAGATATTAAAGCCGACTACCCCTATTCCATGGTACGACCGAGAGCCGTTAGGATCCACCTCTTCCACCTTTCGAAACATTCACGAATACAGTAAATTATGGGATTCCTTGACACTAGAAATAAGTATAAACAATCGGAATATGCACCTTGACCCATCGATCGGCCCTCGTATCGTAGGTCTCTATAAAATTTGTAGCAGTCCTACCGCTCCATCCACCTATGGCAAACAATATCTCGTGAGGCACCCGTGGCCTCGCGATTTTCGGCGTGGGCACTTCCCTGTCCTTTTGTGTGATGATTTCGAGATCGTATATAAATTTTAATGTCTCGATGATGATGGGCCGACAAGCATCGTTTCCGGTAACGTACGGATGATCTTTCACGTTCTCGAGAAAGAATTGGGTGTCCAATAGACCGAGGCGAATATTCTTCATCAGATCTGCTATGTAGCCCTTTCGGTGTTGTGAATCGTGGTCGATCCATTTCAACACCAGCTCCCAAACGGTGTCTTCATTTTTCACATTTAATTCGTCAGCGCCTATCAATGTCGTTAACTCTTCGATCGGTAAATTCAGGATTTCATCGCTTCGCGAAGCTACCTGAGTTCAATGAAACTGTTATTTTATTTGTTCACTTCGTCGCACGCACTGAGAACATCAATGCTGGACCAATGTAACACGACCAATGTAAAACACGAGCAGAAACAGAAAGGGGTCAATGACCTGTACGAAGTGTCTCATAACGTAACGGTACGCGCTGTTCTCCAATCCTTTACAGAAATGTTCTCGAGCGAATCTCATTACGGAAATACAATTCTCCGGCGCTAGATTTTGTTTAAGGAACTCGCTGCAGAGATCGAGAACGCCTAAAATGTTCAGATAATCTGCGGTGACCAGTAGTTGACACACATTCTCCTTATTCACGTTGATTGATCGTAGATACGCGTATTCCAAGAGAAGATTCATCATGTTGCTGCTCACGCCAGGCAGAAGAACATCGGTCTTTTCGCGGGAATGTAACGTAGTTGTGAACAATGTCCTGTGAACATAAAGTCTTTTACTGGCGAGAACTCGGATGTTGCTGATCTAGAAAATCCTAAACGAAAAGTTGAAGAAAAATCGTTTTGAAAATTTATCCAAAGGGTTGCGGACACGATACTGCGTAGAGTGTTAAGACCTGAAGTAGGGGCTGCAAGCTGACAATATCGCTCGGTGTATGGGGAAAACACCTCCATCTTCTAGTCTTAGAACAGCATCGCAAAGAAGATTATTCTGTCGAAAGTCATAGAGCGATTGCATCGCTTGTGTGCTCATACATCGGCCACCGCTTTCGGCTATCAAACGCTGTGTGCTCGTTTCGCATGCGTCGATGTCTCTGCTGTTATTGTTTGAGTCTACTACATCCATATCAAATTTGCTGGAATCCAGCCGCAAATATCTTCCCGGTGACGCGACGACGAATATGTGAGGAAATCTTCGACGTAGGTGAAAGTGGTGGAACTTGAAAATTTTCTAACTCTATAAATGTATATGGGATACATTTTATGCAATACGAAGTTTCTATTACAGGTGTTTTAGGATTCAAGATACGTTCAAGTAAAAATCGAAGTTTTGAGAAAATCTCTACAGAGACATCTTTAAGCACTTGAGAAACGTTGAAATAATGAACGACGAAAATAATCTTAAGCATCGTCTGATGATGATAACATCAATCGGTTGTGGAATCCGCGAAAAAAGAAATACATACTTGAGGGCACATGAATTTTCAAATAGTCCAGGAGGTTATAGTTTCTTATAGGTTGTTAATGATTCTAATCGTTTTTACGCGGTGATTTTTAAGATTTGTATCTTCGAAGACAGTTGTTTCGATCTGACTAATAAATGCAATTGTTTACTCAGCCAAAGTAAAACGATTTGTAAATAAGAACAGTTATTTATACCCGTTGAAATTTGAAATGTGTCAAAATTCTAACACGTGGACGGACGGACTTGAAGACCGAATTATGTAACAGAGATTTTAAAAAAAGTGCAGAGAGTAGAACGAAGGTGATTGGTGACAGAAAGATACAAATTATTTTGTGTGATTTTAAAAAAGAGTAAACGTCGCTTCTGGCTGTGACATAGGTCTTACATGTCCGCCGTTCAGTCTAGGACTGTCTTGTGACAAAAGAGAGGCTTTCGAGCAAGTTCACGATATTATATTTACCAATATCGTTAAGGTATGTTTTATATCTTTGATCCGTGCCTCCGTAGACAACCAATTAATGGTAAAAATTTTAGAAAAATTATAAAACTAAATTAAATCCAAGAGAAATATGTGATAATAATATATTAACATATTGTAACTTATACATTATAGTTCTTTATTCTTAGTATAATTAATACTAATTATATAGTATCTATTAAATTAGTAGAAAATATGGAGAGGTATGCATACTACTTTGTAATTTTAAGAATGTTTAATTTATTTACTAGTTCTACTGTTTTATTTATCTACTATTTACTGCTCACGAGCTGTTCTCCACTGAAAACATTAGCGTGTTTGCATTGAAGCTCGCGAACAGTTATATGCTTGTTCACTTTGAATTCATGATCAGTTACAAACGTGTTACATATAACATAAATCAGTTTGATTCGGAATCACTTGAAAATCTAATAATCTCCCCTTACCGCGAATCTAATCCCCCTCACGCCAAATAGCTCCATCCATATATGTATTCTTACGTCCATGAGTAGGTACATGTATCATAGACGATCACTCTATTCAACCATTTTGTATGGTTAACTGGTGTTGCCATCTGCTGTACGACTTTGAAAGCAAATGCTTAAATGTATGACATATATACATATGTATATTTATGATGAGTCACTGTTTGACACATACGTACTTCCATATGTGATTTCACATGAATGAATGGAAAGATGGTTCAGTTCAAACATTTTTTGAAGTGTTATTCCTAAAACTACATTATTAAATAGTTTATGTTTAAAACAAGAAAGTGTTCATTTTTTTTATTGAATAAATCAATATGTAAAACGAGCGTACATTAATTTACGAAATAGTTTTGTTTCCACGTGAGATTCGTAAGTCATAATCTCAAGTAAGTTAGAAATCTTTTAAATACGAAAGTATATTATTAACATTATGTATACGCGAAAACATTTTATTTATGATATAATTTTTGCACATCTGCTTATATAATATAATAACATTAGGTTTTATTTCACTCCGGTTTACATGTACATACATTACATATTTCGCAGATAATGGCCAAATCCGGTAATGTTAAAGAATGTACTATTGGTATAGAAGAAAGTATTCTCGTACGTACCAATTTACATTTTTAATTTACAATTGTAAATGTTATCATACATAGTACTTCTATCGAATTTTATTTTTTACTCAAACGGATTTCCTTGAATTGCATTTATAATATATTTTCTAAGGCTTCGCTTTACATTTTGTGTTAACACATTTATTATTTTACATTTTTACTGGTAATTCGACTATTACATGCAGTGTGGTGATGGTATGAAAGAATACCTTGAGCCTAGATTTGAGTGTCCTATTTGTTTAACCTGGCTACGCGATCCAGTTTTAACATCTTGTGGTCATAAATTCTGTTCGCAATGTATATACACTTGGCTTCAGTAAGTTATATCACTTCTGTAAAGTTAATGAGTATAGAATGGAACATTATTTATATATCTTGTGTTTATCAAATAATTTTTATTTGTAGAAAGGAAGGTGCTTGTTGTCCAGTTGATAGTCAGCCATTAAAGTCTGAAAGTGATTTGTTCAGAGATTTATATACGAGCAGAGAAATATCACAACAACGTACACCTTGTCTTTATCAACAGTTCGGTTGTGAAATTAAACTATCTCCAGTGGATATGGAAGCTCATATTAATCAATGTATATATAAAAGAAGTCTTCCAGATTCACAAAATATTTATTGTCATTTTAAAAATGTTGGCTGTATAGAAATTTTTCACACCGAAGATGATTTACATACACACTTAGAAACAAATATTAGTCTTCATTTAACTGTTAGTTATTATTCTTTTCAATATGATTATTTAAAATTTGTGTGTAAGAAGGTTGATTGCCTACATATTTTGTAGATGATTTTAAAAACATTACCACAATCATCTCTAGCCCAAAATCATGCTAATGCACTAACTGCTGAGTCAAAATTATGGGACCCACCACCCAAAAGTGCAACATCTTTAGTTAATAGTGAACCACCAATGGAGTGGCAGCAGTTATTAAAGTAAAACTAATATTTATTTCTCAAACAAAACATTTTCATAAAATAATTCTATCAAATATTCTTTTTTTTTAGGAATCTGTATGAGAGAATAGTAACATTGGAGCAACAAAATAGAGAACTTTCTATTACCGTGTCTAATCAAAAGACTCAACTTACTACTTTACAAACTTCTTTGAGATTTAATCAAGAAGAAATGTTTTTACGTAGCTGTAATGGTGTATATATTTGGAGATTGCATTCTTTCCAGGACAAGCTTGAAAGTATGATAAATGATCCCTTAAAAATGTTTTACAGTCCTGGTTTTTATACTAGCCCTAATGGATATAAGATTTGTGCCAGAATTAATATATCTTCAAAAGATTCAGAATTTCTCTCATTACTTCTACATATAATGAAGTCAGAAAATGATGATGGTTTAGATTGGCCATTTAATGGTATAATGTACTTTATTTTAGTCCATCCGCATGATTATGAAAAAGACATACGAGAAATAACTTCATCCAGGCCAGATTTAGAAGCATTTAGAAAACCAGTCTGTGAATTGAACAAACGAAGTTTTGGTTATACGGAATATGTACGAATACGAGATTTAACAGATTTTTTGCATAATGATTACTTAATTTTTAGAATTGAAGTTCGTGTCCAAGATAAGTTTACAATATCAATGTAATATAGTATTTTTAGTAACATTTATCAATTCTTCACTGTGAAAGTAGTACATCAATTTTATTTTTCTGTGTTAGAT